AATCAATGATATTACAAATCATTGAAACTTTGATTCTTTGATATTATGAGATCAATGATATTACAAATCTTTGAAACTTTATTCTTGTATGAATCGATAAATCTCCTATGTCCTTGATATTATGGACCCTGATACAGTGAATCATGGCGAAAACATGATCGATGATAGCACAATATAAAATCTGAGTCTTTGATATTTACAATCTTGATTCTATTGTTGATATCTTGATAAAGATGATGATATGATTTATAGAAAGATTTGAAAATTCAATTGTATATCAATGAACTAAATTATCTATATAAGATCAATCACTGATTCGAACTCATTCAAATTTGTTCTCTAGTTTTTTTAATAATTTATTAAGAGATTTTTATTAAATAATTTTTATTCATCATTTATTAAAATATTGTTGGTGATGAATAAATTTTGAATAAATCATTGTTGATTAGGTTACACTTGATTTACCTTGAGAAAAGTGATCATCTTTCTTAGGACTTTTCGAATAACTTTTATTTTCTTTCCTTTACTTTTCGTGTTCGTCCAATAATAATAATAATACTTGTAACATTTTCTATGGATGATAAGGAAAAGGAAGAAGATGATAAGTCTCAGTATCTCTCTCTCTCTCTCTCTCTCTCTCTCTCTCTCTCTCTCTTTTTTTACATGGTTTTTATCATCATTATCTTTTATCTTTCATGCTCTTTTCGTTACATGTTACCTTAAATATATCAGAACAAGTTATCGATCGTTCATCATTATATTTCCTTGAATCGACCCGAATAGTGACTTGATAACATCTCCTGACCGTTCATATAAAAGATAATAACAAGAAACTTTAACAATCAGAGAGAAGAACCAGAAAAAAAGAAGATACAAAAGTGACTGATGATGATAATATAGACAGAGAATTAGAAAGAGATGGAAGATAAATATCATCAAGTTGAAATGTTCTCATTGTCTGAACCAGAATTCAATTTATCATGATAAATCAGTTCGATATCTTTGATCATCACCATCATCTCTCTCTCTCTCTCTCTCAAAACTGTAAACTTTATTTACAACAAACTACTGACATGTTGTCACAATTAGTTTAATTGTGTTGAACAAAAAAATATTGATAAATCAAATTTTTGATTGTAAACTTAATCCTCCTCTCGATATCTGTTTGATTGTGTGTTAATGATTACATTCAATTAAATGATTAAATGGATCGTTTAAATTGTGATTGTGTTAATGTTAATTTCATTGGGATGATTATGATGATTACTTGCTAATTGTTACCTGAGAAATTAATAATTTTGTGTGTTGGTCCTACAAAAGCAACAACAACAATCAACTTAATCCCTCTGATTGAACTACTGATTTTTTTTGTATAAATTTCATTTGTTAATTGGGATTATAATCAAAATAACAACAACAATTGATTACCAGTCTCTACAACAATTAGTTAATCATTTGAGCATTAACAATAACAATAATCATAATGTTGATAGTTAAACATTAAATTACCTTAACTATGAATCAATTATGATGGTTGAGTGAACAGAATTGAATCAAGAGTGGAAAAAAAATTTCCTCCTTCACCATGGAGAGAGTGAGTGGGATTTTCTCATCTCATTCATAATATTATTATCATTGGAACTTATTTCATCATTAATCATGCTCAATATTGAGTAATACTTAATTACTATTTCCCTATTTACTAAATTAGTGCTTCATAAACTGAATCAGTTGATTACAATTAGTGAGTTTGTACATCGAGAGTCTCATGTTTCACTTTAACTGTATGTGATTAGTACAAATGATATGTTATGATAATAGTATCATAAATAGTGATAACAATTAACAGAAAAACCTTTTTAATTGAGCAATTAGTTAATTTACCTTGATTCCATGCAGAGTTTATATCTCGGATTTAATTGTGATTGTAAATTGTTTGAAAATATTGATTAGGTAAACCTTTTTGTTTATCAAAGTAAATTGTAATTACTTGTATGTTTATCAGCAATTTATTGATTACTATTGATTTAATTTAATAGTTACTGTTGTTGCTATGTTAATCATGGATAGAGAAACGGAAATCCTCTTGATTATGATAACAATTTGATCACATTTAAATGTAAATTACGATTAATTCAATTTGATTATAAAAGTTTAATGTTATTTGACGTGAATTTTAATTATGGTTCAGTAAAGGATTGAAATTTTCGGGTTAATATATTTGGTACACATTGTATTTGGTATTAGACAGATGAGGATGAGGATGAGGAGGTGATATGGATGAGGATGCTCATGGAAATGAAGATAAGTGGGAGGAATATCAATTTTTTGTTCAACTTGGATGAAGATTGTTTTTTACACAGAAATATCTTATGTCAGAATTGTTCAGAATGGTTTCAAGTCCAAATGGGAGTGTAAGAGAGAGAGAGGAGATGAAGGGTGGATGATGATGATGAGAAGGAAGATGGAAAAGTAAACGAAAGATGTAGGATGAAATTCTGAAGGAAGACGAGTCATAATAATAGAAACTGTCAAAAGCAGAGAGGGAAAAAAATTCCACGAAAATTATCGAAAAACCAATTGATTAAATCCACAATTCTGATCAAGAGTTTTCTTATCATTGAATCTTTCTCCTGAATATCATCATCATCATCTTTAAATGTATCATTGAATTACCTTTAGACTGAAAATTGTTAATATAATTTGATTTTATCTCTTTTATCAACAATCATAATTGATAATAATAAATGCGAAAAAAAAATTCATATCGATGGATAAAAAAAAAGTAAACCAATAGAAACCATTAAATCAACAGAAATCATTTTGAAACATTTCAATTCAATTACAATATCATGTTATCATATCATGTTGTTGATGTTATCAAGTGTGATTCAGGATGAAATTTATTCTGATTTGTTGCTGTCATTCATGTGTTTATTTGATTAGCCATTTGAAAAGGGAATCAAAAAAATAAGTTTATTCAAAGTATTGATTAAGTTAATCATTGAAAAAAAGTAATATCAAGTTGGTGAGGAAAAGAAAACACAAAATGGTTACACCAAGAGGGGAAGAAAAGTTCTGATAAATTCTGATAGTAATAATAATAATATAGAATTTGAAATTCGTGATGTTTATCCTGGTGTAGAAATGTAACTTTTTTACCCTGAAAATTTATCGCTTTTTTTTGTTCACCAATGATAATGTTTTACTGTTCTGAATTTTATCATCTCCATGACGAGATAAACTCAATTCTTGATAATAATAATTCTGGGATTTCAGCCAATTCTCATATATAAATATCCTGAATAAAAAATAAGTAAACATGATAAACCTTTTTCTCACCATAAATACTATGCTTATTATTAAGTTAACCAGAAAAATAGAAAGAGAGAAAGAGAGAAAGAAAGAAAAAAATTCGTTCCCATGAAATTGAATAGAAATGAACATTTTCTAACTGAATTGCCATTTGAAAGAAAACCCCTCAGGATAAAACGATGAATTTATGATATTCTTTCATCATAAAGTTAACTCATGTTTCTCTTAATCATCATAATCATCATTTCTCTCTCTCTCTCTCTCCTTTTATCCAAAGTTCTCAATTTCCATCATCAATCCATTATTTTCTTCATCATCTCAATCATTATCTTCTAAAATTATGACTTTTTTTCTCATATTAATTATTTATTGTGATAGAAAATAATTCACTCCAGATAATGAGAAAATCCTGAAATTCCTTATCTTATTTTCATTCCTTCATGATCCATGTCATTATCATGTCCATGAAAAGTTCATTGCCATTGAATTCATAATTATACTTGAAACTTAAATCGAGTAAAAAAAAAGTTTTAATTAAAATGATGACCAAACCTTATGAGTGATAATATTAGTTTGGTCATCTTTTTTTTCAACTCATTCTGAATTCTCGGTATCTTGTCATGATAATTTGTTCAGCTTATGATAATTGTTGTTGGTCATTTCCTTATGCAAATTATATCATCATCATGATGATAATTAGCGTCACGAAAACTGACCAGAAACTAGAGTAAATCCTTTTTTAATTACGCTTCCTCTTAAAGGAGGAAATGAGATTAACTGAATTGAGGGAAAATTTTCAAAAAATTTCAGGGGAAATTCAGGTAAAAGAAGAAGAAGAAAAGTTCCAAATCAATATCTATCTTCTTATTCTGATAGAATGTATGAAAATTATCTTCATTATGATAATCATCATAATAGGATTTTGTTATATAATCGTTCATCTATTATCATAATCATAAATTTAGAGAGAGATAGAAAATTTTACCTAGGAGTTAACATGGATTCCATAATATTATCCTGACAGAGATGATAATGAATGAGAAAACTGGTAAATAGTATTAAAAAAAAGCCTCAATTTATCATTCGGATGATATTAATTCATACACATTAAAATAACATGATGACCATTGATAAATAGTTATTCCTATTTACATGATGAAAAAGTTACTTTGTCATTCTCATAGTAATAATTGTACAATTTTTTGGAATCAAGATCCTCATGAGAATTCAGTTTATATCAAAATAATAGAAGGTAAAGAAAAAATTGTTTCATAAAGATAAAGAGATATTCACTCACTTAACTCAAATCTCCATGGAAACTTAATATTCCCTCATCAGTATTATCATCTTTTCATCATTATCCAGTGTGTTTACCTTTTGCTTACCTGTATTATCAACTCAAATTCAATGTATCATCATCATCATCATGTCCATTCTCACTTTCTCTCTCAGAGTATTATCATAATCTTATCATGAGAAACTGAAACGGAAACTGATTCCATTATTATTAATAAAATAGCAACTCTCATGAGTCTAATGTTTATTTTACATCTCGACCATCAACTGATCACAACAATTAATTGTCTAAATATCTTCACATATTGGGTTATATGGTTTTCTAATTTCTACCTTTACATTAATTAGTCTAATTGTTTTTCTTTTCTTTACTTTTCTTACCCAATCAGCTGATTGTCGGAGTTTTAAATGTCAAAACACTTATTGCATATCTTATGATCTTATTTGTGATGGAGTTGATCATTGTGGTGATAATAGTGATGAAACAAATCCAACATTTTGTTTGTGTAAGTATTTGCTAATTGGATAATCACAATTAATCTGATTCTCTCTCTCTCTCTCTCCAATTTCAATTAAACTCAGAGAAACAATCTAATGTATATTTACACAATCATCAAGATGAAAGATAAACACAAATAATAATAGTTTAATTTACCTTTTCAGTTGATTAATCTTCTGATGACCATTACTTTTAATTTCAACTATTCTCATCTTCAAATGATCAAAGGGATTTCAGAGAGTTAATCTTAATCCTTATAACGGTAATAGTTTTCATCTCCCTCACCTAAGTGATCAATAATTTCTAGTTTCATCACTTGGTTTACTTTTACTCTCTCTCTCATCATCGTCATCATCATGATTATAGTGAAAATATAAGGTACCAGAAACTCCCATTGACTCATTTATCTAAATCAGGATAATTTATTCACAACAGATTCCAAGCTGAACTTTTTTTTCACCATTAATATAACGTGACACTAACCTGCCAGTGGATAAAAAATAAAGGGATGAGGATGATCATCATATTCACAGTGATAACTTTTCATAATTGATGATTATCATGATGAAGATGATGAGAGGTGACAGTTTTTTTGTGCTTTCATCATCAGTAAATAGTTAGTTAATTGTAATGGATAATCAGCTTGATCATCTAATTGCTTTTGGATAATATGAGGATAAGAGACAGATTATTAGTAGATTATTGTGATTATCGTTGATTTTGAATAAAAATATGAAAGAAAAACAAAATTTTAACTTAATTGTTACTCTTAATTGTTTCCATAGCTGAAGAAGATGAAACCGGATCAATTTTAGGTCTACCAATATCAATTTTCATAGGCCTAGTAATTACTGTATTCCTTATGTGTTTAACGTGTGTTTTAGGTGAGTAATTTGTTAATTGTTTACAATTTAAATTTCCAATTTGATTGTATTCATTTTTTTCTCATTCAAATTGATTCAATTTCAATCTCGTTGTTGATTTTCAATCAGTTTTTTTTTCATATAAACAAAATTTACTTGATTAAGTCTCATTTCATTATTATATTAATAGGAATCAAATTAAATCATTACAATCAATTTAAATCTGATTGCTTGAAGCTTTAATCATAATCTTCTCATGATCATGATAGTAATTAAATTATTACAATTTGAATTTGATTTCTTCATTCAATCAATTAGATTAGGATTAATTTGTAGACTTAAACTCAATTATAAACTTTACCAGTTTGCAAGTAAATTGAAAATTTGAATTTTTTAGTTCGTTTCTTGTTCTGATCAAATGGATTAACAATCAATTCTTAATCTCTCTAACAGGATTAGCAATTTATCTGTGTAAACGTGAACAGCAAATGCATCAGCAACACCAAAGGATAATACTTCATCAAGCAACCACACCTATTTTAGCTCATCCCGCCTCATATAATGGTAAGTTAATCACAACAACGATTAACTGATTGCACGGCCATGGTTAATCTTAATCCATGGTTTAACTTTTCATTGTGTCCAAAAATTATTATAACTTATTGACTTTTGCTATTGATGGTTTACCTAAAACTATGATCAACCTGTATGATTAACTGATTTATGATTTTAATAATAAAACAAAGCAAAACTAAATGAAAATTTTTTCGTCATCTCTGTTTGTTTTTTTTTCATCATCTTCTAATCCACTTTTTAATCCGTTAATCGGTTAATCTTGATTAAAGCCAAATCGACGACATTTGTTTAAAAATTGATCACCTTTCAATCAACGATGGCTCAGTTTTATCAAGCAAATTGATAAACAATTAAAGGAGACCTGTTGTTGATCATTTGGTAAATTTGATTGTTGTCATTTAATTGTTTTCCAATAACGGATTATAATATTATCTGTTGGATTATCTAATCGAGAATTCATTTATCTTTCCTTTCACAATTCTAGATAAATGCAACATGGAATTCAAATTTTGTGTATTCGTGCCTTTAACCTGTTGATTTTTTTTTCTGAGAATTCGTGATCAGCTGAGACACTTAAATGTCGATATTAATTTTTTATTTTTCTGTTTTTTTTTCGAGAAAATCATCAAACAAAATCTTCTTGTTGATTTCATTCATTGATTCTCAATTGTCACATGAAACTTTCAGAACTTTTTCTCTGATCTATTATTATTTTCAAATGAACTTCGATAATTACTCCCAACAATATTGGATAATGACGATAATATAATGGATATTATTTGAATGAGAAAATCGTGATGGAAACATTTTCGACATGTAAGTATATGAGTGAGAATTTCCCGCTTAATGAACATTTTATCAAGTTATTAATCTTCTGATATTTTCTATTTAAATAGTTGATACACAATAGATGGTAATCAAAATCGATACTTTCATCGCTTTTATAACCATTAAAGGAGCTAAATTCGGGAAATTTCACAATCTAGAACAATTAATTGATTGTTTACTCATTTGATTGGCTCTGTTTTTCCTCCAGTTATTATCCAATGTAAAAATATCAACCCTTTATTATCATGGTGGTTGTTGAAAGTTAGATTGTTGTACAATTTGATTGAATCAAGACAATCAGAGTGTTTATCAATTATCACTCTGACCTTTTTTACCATAATTATGATTATTAATTACAATAGAAATTGTGAAAATTAACTTGATTGTTTTGATACATATTATTTTAATTTGTTTGATTCTAAGCCGATAAAGTTATGGTTAATGTATTTACGTTTCAGTTGAGAGACTTTGAGTCCGATAAACTTTGTATTCCTTCAAAAGGAAATGTCCAAGTTGACTTATCGACCGATCTACTCGATTGATGTTCAGTTCGTGGTGATACTGACCCACCGACACTCAAATGCACCAAGACTTGTCTCTATGTCTTTCTGGTTACGATAAAAACTTTGACCAAAATTCGTAGAGTTTTAGATGACCAATATTCCAACGATCGCCAATTTACAATCCATTCTGATTTCTCTTATTATCCAACAGAATCTCTCAACAACACGAATCTCAATCGGCGATTTCATGAGTACTTCATGATAAAGAGAGAAAGGAAGAGAGAAAAAGATAAATTTCCAAAAGAATGAACCAAGATTCTAATGAACGTGGAATAGAAAATATCATCATCGGTCCATCGAATCTGAACCATAAACTGATCATGATTTAAGAAAAAAATATCCAATAACTGTGACTGATTTCAATTAATCCAAATAAAATCAACTCAATTTATCAAAAATAAAAACTTTTTGTTCAATTTTCCTTCATTCCAACTTATTATTTGGAAACGGTCCCTGGTTCTTATTGTTTTGGTTTTTCAACATATGATTTTCATGTCATCAAATTGTTAGTTTTTGATTGTTAATTGTTATCCACCATGTTATTAACTAGATCAATATTCAATCTTAATCACGTCAGGATAAATTGTAGACATTTATCTAGACACATCAAGAAGAGCAAAGTAAAATCATCAGATAATCAGTGTCTTCTTAAGCCACGACAATTATGGAGACCTGTTGTTGTTACAATTACGGTGACCGGGATTTCATTCACTTCGGCGATTATAATTGATTATGAAAATTTCCGTCTCACATCTGACCTATTACCTGAGTCCTTTCATCAGCTTCGTCGTAAATATGACTTTATCAACAAGGTAAACTTTAGTCTATCGTTTATCCAACTCAATTTGTACCAGTATCCAAATCGATGGATTAACTTGATGGATTATCTAATTGAATTTTTTTTTTGTTTCTCTTTTATACTTTTGATTACAATTCTCTAGATGTATTTAACTTGGAATCGGCTCAATTCTTGTGAGAAAATTTTTGTTGGTGTTTGTGCCTTTAATCTGTTGATTTGTCTCGGTTTGAAAACTATTCCCAATCGTTTGTGTCCCTATTTTGTTAGTCAAGCTCGAACAAGTAAGTTGATGACAATTTTACCCACTGGATTAGTTAATTGTCGATATTATTTTATCTTACAGAAAATCTTTTCCCTTCGATGATTCTCCATATTTTCAGTCATTCATCTTTACTCCATTTAGCTGTTAACATGTACGTTCTTTACAGTTGCCTTTCCATGGTCAACTTTCATCTCGGAGCCAATCAATCATGGGCTCTTTATCTAAGTGCCGGTCAGTTATCGCTCTTTCATTACCTTGGAAATTTCCCTAATCGATCATGTTTCTTGTTTCGTTTTCAGGAGTATTCGCTTCTCTGGCCAGTATTGTTCATAAATCCATTAGAAGAATTCATCAACCATCAATCGGTGCCGTAAGTATTAGTTGATCAATTGATTCTCTTCGATTAAGTAGATAATCATTTCCTTCCAATCTTCAAGTCAGGAGCAATTCTCGGTCTTCTTGCAGCTTCTTGCATGATAAATCCAGAGGCAAGTCTTGGAATTGTGTTCATACCAAACCTTTTGATTCCAGCAAAATATGGCATTTGTGGGATAATCGCTCTGGACACTATGGGGATTATCCGACAATGGAGACTGTTTGATCATGCGGCTCATCTTGGTGGTACCATTTTCGGAATGTAAGTTTCAGGGTAAAAGAAGTAGAAAATTCAATATTCATTGATTATCCTTTTTCTTTTTGATTATCAGTTGGTACATAAAATATGGACAAGAACTAATCTGGAGACAGCGAACTCGCTTGTTGCGTGTTTATCTGGACCTTAAAAAACGCCTTTAATCGAGTAGATAATTTATTTATTTTTAATTGTCGCGTTCTCCTTGCAATAGATGTGATACCAAAAACATACTCGCACGTGAATACCGCTGATTAGTTTCAAAGTAAAACCATTTCATTACTTGTTATTTTGTTTTTTTTTTGGGTCTCTTTTCATACCTAAAAATATTGAATTAATTTGCATCTATTTGTGTACTCAAATTATGTACTAATTATCAAATTAATTAAATTTACAGAAATGATACTTTTTTTTAATTAATGGATATGATTAATCGTTAGATAAATCAAAAAAGTGAAAATGGCGGAAAAGAAAACACTTTTTAACCTCAGTAATTAGTTAGTGTGTAAAAATTGGTTAAAAGAGAGGAAAAGAAAACTTAACAATTTGAAATCGATGAATATGTTATTCAAATTTTGAAATTTTGGTTTCACTTGTTCTTAAATTTTATCAACAACTCTCAAATAAATTATCCAACAGAAATTATTCATTGATTTTGATTTGCAAAATATAAAATATCGCATTATTATTGGCCCTCTCGAGACATGGTAAGAACTTGTTTCAAAGCTTCTTGTTGTTGAGTATTAAGCGATTCCACACATCTTTGGAAAAGTGATGCATCGGCCTGACAAGAGAAAGAATTATGTTTAATATTCATTCAAAGATTGATTTTGATCAATTAAAATCTAAATTTTTAAATTAACTTACTTGCAAAGAATGAATTAAAGCTATGATTTTTTGCCCCACTTCGGAAGTCATTAAGATAGCATTTCGAGATACAACCTCCATGAATATACTTACTATCCTTGGAAGGTTGGAATTATTTTCTCCCATGATAACAGGATGGTTACTGTTAAATTGATTAAAATAGTAATTTTTAAGAATTAATCAAATATCAACAGGGTAAAACTTTATAATACTTATATCAATATACTTACTGTTCAATAAGAGAGAAAAGGAATCCATAGACATGAGGAAGCTCTTCTTCATCTTCCCAAACTGGTAACCAGGTAAACCAGTGAGACAACAATTCATTAACATTAACCTAATAGATAAACGAAATTAAATTAAATATTGATGTTAGATTAAAAATTGAGAGCTATAAACAATAAAAAAATTAGTATTTTCCAAAACATACTTGACTACTGTTGTATTGAAGTATTTTGGTAATAGCAGCAATTGCATTTTCAGTGGCATTTATATTTGAATCTTCTCGGGCATCAGGAGCTTGAATCATTTGAATTAATAATGGAACGCAACCTAAATAATTGACCAAAATATTGACAAATAGAAATGAAATTTGATTAAATTTTGAAAACGCAATTTTTTTTTCCTCAACAACTAACCAGCACACGAATCGGCAAAGAATGGACCTCCAAATCGAGCCAAAACTCCCCAACCATAAGATGAGGCTTGTCTCAGTTCGGGATAAGTGCTTTGAACTCCAGCGACCAATAAAGGTAAGAAAAATTCTTTATATTTTTCACATCCCGATCCTCCATGTTCAATAACATCATCCATTACACAGATAGCCCAATGTTGCTCTGTCCAAGATCTATCACCACCCTGAGGATACAAAAGAAAATAGAGATTGGTTATTGGAAGTTCTTTTGTAAATTAAGCTCAACTTACCGCTAATTTAACAAAGTGTCCAACGATATGATCAAAAAATCGTAAGAAGTAATCTTTACAAACGGAGAAACAAGCGTGCAAGACATCAGCCACTTTACTTAGGATGTAAACATCTTCATCATCCTAATGAAAAAATAAATCCAAAATAATTGTTAATTTAAATGTCAGCTAATTTTAAAAGCAAAAATTTTCAAAAACTAAATTTACCTCATCCACTAAAGTTGCTTCAACACCTTCATCATAATCTTCATCTTTTCGTTTCTCTAATCGCTCTTGAGCTCTAGTGAAATGGTCTTTCAAATGTTCGTCGAGAACATTAACAATTGCTTTTAATTGATCATCAGAAATGTATTCTCGTCCAAGATTGGTGATACACTAAAAACAAAAAATAAATAAAAAGATTAAATTATTTGGATAATAAATAAAATATGAATAAATTCTTACTGTATCAAGTGAAGCCATGAGTTCGGATAAAACATCACGTTCAGATTCATTTTCTATGGCAGAGATTAACTCAGGGAAAATATAATTCCACATTTGATTGACATATTCATTGCCACGAACTTTGGCACTATCGATCAAAAAAGGTAAACATTCAGCTGCAGCGGTGCGAACACCATCGTGGAAGTAAAATTTAAGATGAGGAACCATAACTTTAACAGTTTCCTCAACATAGTCAGCAAAGCTTTCCTTTAATTCCCGAGCGTAACAAACTAACATTTGACAGGCTGTAGCCTTTTCCTCCAAACCTGTAGTTTTAATACCAAATGTTTGCTAGAAAAATAAGAATTCGAGAATTAGAAAATAAAAGTCATGATTGAGAAAATTTAAAAAAGAATTTTTCAAACTCACCGAGTCTCCTAAGCTCACACATTGCCAATCATTTTCGGCTTGGACTGTATCCTTATCGTCTTGGTCTAAAAAGGCAACTTGAACCTTGTAAGAAGCAGCTCGAAGCACTGGTGGCATAACTGATGGTAAATATGGTTTGAATTGAGGACCAAGAATTTTACAAATTCGTGCCCAAGCTGAAATCATGTATGCTAATTGTGGATCATCATCAGCCAACTGAATTTCACCAGTTTGTGTTGCAAGTAACATCGTCATAACTGCATTGGCATCATTACAGAAACGCTCTTTACCAACAGCTAATCCAATTAGACTGATACATTCAATTGCTTTTCCCCGAAGAACTTTAAGTTCATCTGCTGTTGCCATTTCAATGATTGCCTTAAGGTAAGGAACAAACTTATCATAATAACGTTCAAAATATTCTTGAGCTGAGTCGGCAAGTGAAGCTAAAGTGACAACTGCTTGTTCCAAGACAAGTTTAGTTCCTTTGCTTCTTAATTCATCAATTTTCATTGTTATCAGAGCTTCTAACTTGTTAGCTGCATCATTCATGTAAATAGAAACAATTTTAGGTGGACATTCTTCAAAGAAGTTAACTAAAGCAGCACCAGCGTGAGCTTGAACTCTTGGATTCATATGATCGTCAAGAAGTGCCATTAAACTTGGTACAATGTTGTGAAATTTTTCTTGAAATTCAGGCGCAAAATCAGAAGCCATTTGTCCAAGTGCATTACAAGCAGCATAACGAACTCGTGGATGAGGATCCGACAAGAAAGGTAAAATACCAGGTAAAATTCTGGGTAACATGGGAGACATTTGATCATGACAACCTTCACCTACAGCTGAGACAGCCATCATAGCTGCAAATCGATGACGCCAATCAGGATTTTGTAACATTTGAGATACAGCATCCATAACAATAGGTAGAATAGTTTTACCACCAACAGAACAGGCAAGTCGATCTAGAGAGGTTTCACCAATAACATGATTACTTTCAAAATCATCTTCTTCTATTTCGTCTGTAATTCCCCATTCAGGATCTTCTTCTACACTTGTCATCATTAGTAATAAGTGTGAAACTGAATAATAATGAGAGAAAAGAACATTGTTTGAATAAAAATTATTTTAAAAGAAAAAAAAAATGGCAAAGATAATTGTTAGATCAAGGATATGGAGATTACCTAATTGTCCTAAATAAGGAGCTCCACGTTTTCTAATTGTTTGAGGAGCATTTTCGGCAAGAGAAATAATCATTTCAATGCAAAGATGTTTCCGAGTATCCATAATGTTAACTCCTTTAAATGCTTCAAGACAAAGTCGAATAAGATCTTCAGTTCGAGATCTTAAAAACTGTGGGCACTTCTCAGCAATTTCAGCCATTGCTTTAAGAATTGTATCACAGTGCTCTTCCTCTGAGGATATTGTTAATACTATTAATTGTATCATGGGTAGAACACAATCAGAAAGGTGTTTGGTGACAGTTTTTTCATCTTCATAGCATAATACAAATGCAGAAGTTGCTTTAACAGCAGCAGTTCGGATCTAAAAGAGAGCAAAAAAAAGCCAAACAGAAGAAAAAAAAATTAAATAAGTAAATGTTTAAACAGCTCTACCAGAAAATTAGCTTACTTCTAAATTGGAACCTTCGTTTTCATTTAGACAATGTACTAACATTTGCCTAAGAACTTCCAAGTAACGATCTAATTCATTTCCGAAAATTCCAGGAACCAGTCTAGATGGAAGAGAAAATATAAGTTATAACATGTGATTTGAATGATCTTTAAAAAAAGGAACGCGGGAAAATTTAAGAATACAGGTTTGCTATTCAAGATTAAGATCATAGCTATTAGCTTTTTAGATTTAAATGTTGCAATTAAGGAAAGACAATCATTATAATTAATTAATTGTACGTACGATAAAAGGTTCAAGGCACATTCTTTCAAAACAAGATCTTGTGAATTGACGCATTCAAACATGAATTTCAAAAGATCTGGCCAATGGTTTTGTCCGGATTCATCTGTAATTAGAAAATTGGGATTAATTTTTGAATAGTTTTCGGGTTAAAGTTATTGTTTTAAAATTAATTAGCTTTTTAAATTACGAACCTATCAGCTTTTTGGCCAATTCAGCAGTAGCTTCACATATTTTCTTCTTTATGTTAGCATTTTTTGAATTTCTAATCAGTAGCATCAACTGAGTTTGAACCTGTTGAAGTATCTCTGGAGTCATACACTGTTGAATGGAGTCATACTGATTGAAAAATAGTCTTCGTAACAATACAGCACATAGTTGAGTGAACTAAGAATTTAAGGAAAAAAAAGAGAAATATGAGATTAACAATGTGGCATTTTTAAAATCACTTTCATTTGAGTGCATCTTTTTGGTTTGTTTGTTCTCTCTCGCAAGTTTTACCTCATTTGCCAGGGTCAATTCGGTTACAATTTTGAGAAGAAATTCCATTTTGAGTAAAGTCGCGACATTCTCATATTTATTCTGTAAAAAATTAAAACGAAAAAAAAAGAGAACATAGAAATACAATTAGAAACGAGTTAGTAGCAATAGAAAAAGTGAAAACCTATTTCATCATTCGATAGACACATATTTATCTACAAGATAATTAATTGACTATGACTAATAAATTATCCAACAAGACAACCAGTTAGATGGAAAACGTTGTTAATCAACGCAATCAATACAATAGAATGTAAAAAGAAGGTAAAAATGTGATATTGGAAAGAGGAATAAAATAAAACACATGGTTAAGAGAAAAAGAGAAGGAAAAAAATTCTACTCACCTCAGCTTCGGTTCGAATATCATTGTTTTCATTCAACAGATTGACCACAATCATCTGGAATTCGTTAAAATTAACTGTCTCACCCATGATAACAACAATAAAACAATAGAAATCACTGTCAAAAAATAAATTATCAACTAATTAAAATTAATCACCAACAGAAATTTAAATGTGTGAATCAAGATTGAAAAAGAAAAAATTGTAGAAATGGGAGGAGCTTAACCGAAGGGACGGAATTCATTCCCATTTTGAGCGCGAATTTCAAGTGAACAGGAAACGAAATTGTAAAAGTTTCATTTCCATTTCCGTTTACAATTAAGAAGAAGATAATAAATAATTAATCAAATTTTCCTTTCTTTCTTGTTTTACATTATGATGTCGAAATGAATTTACCGATGAATCAATTTTCGAATCTAATATTTAAAGAAGCTGGGATTTGGTAATAGATGGAAAACTAATCGAAATCAAAGTGAACAGTTAGTTTGATTATTTTTGAAATCGAAATTTTTTTTCTTTTAATAACAAGTTTGAAAACATTTTCGAATGTTATTTTTTAAGTTACATAAAATTCTTGAGAATTGAAATACATTATTTAGAAGTTTGAAATTTTGCATTGTCTGTTTTCGAGTGTTCATTTTATTGTTACAGTAGAAACAAATTTTCGGTGTTTTTTTTTTCGTTTTCACATTATTCATGTAAATCTATTCACAGTTGTGGGTGTTTTTGTGTTTGTTGTGTGTATATGTGGATGGGCTTAGAAGTGATAGTACAGAAATTACAGGAAGAAATAGAAAAGGAAATGTTTCACTTCCGATTCTATTGATTACAGAGGAAAAGAAAACATTGGTTTACCATTGATTAGATTTAATCAACTTGATCGGTGTGTAAATAAAATTATTATCATCATGGAATCAGCTGAATATCAGGGGAAGATTTTTTCTTTCTTTCTTTTTTTCCAATAAAAAAAAAGGAGAGAAAATTTTTTCTACTGTCGTGGTTGAATTTTGAGATGGAATTTGGTATAAGAAATTTAGAACTGGAAATAATCATATCATGTTCGAGGAATTCAATTCGACGAGTGAATTTTCTTGGGTTTGGTCAAACGCTAACTGCGTCTTTGAATAACCATACGTGGCCTTTGCAAGAGAGAAAGATTTTCAGAATTTGAAAGAAATTCGAAAGCTAACTAATAATTATATTAGTCTCAATAGTCAATTGTTAATTAATCAACACAATTAGTAAACAAGATGAGATGAGATTAGATGAAAGATGAAGTCAGTTATTTTCCTTTAAATGGTTGTGATGAATTTTTTTTTCGCCAATTCAAAAGAGTCAATTGTTTTTTTTCTTAGTGATGATGATGATGATGATTAACGTATTAATTAGAAGGATAATTAGTGTATATGATTAGTTTTGTTTTCTGGGAACCATGATTACCATGCTTTGTCCTTATTTTTACCATTAAATTGTTAACTCCAGCAACTTTGGATTTTCCAAATTTGTTGTAACATCTAAACAGGACTTCATTATCTTTCGGCCAAATAAAATGTTACTATTGTTCAATTAATCAGAAATTTACAATTAGTTAAACACAAGCTCGAATAGAGGTTGAGATGAATTGAGTAGATGTGAAAATCCTTTCTGATTAATCCCAAAGAGTAAAGAAACTTGATTAAATTTTCCATCCATGTTAATCCATAACATCAACATTTCCATCAGCCGTTCAACTGCTAACAATTTACTAATCTGCTCCAAGTAAAACCAAAGGTACCAATAAAAGTAATTTAACAAATTTGTGAAATAATTGATACACATAATGTATGTATATGTGTGTTTGTGTGAGTGAGAATTGCAGTTATAATTGTTGGAAACCTTGGAGGTGAGATTGTTTTCCTCAAAGGAAAATGTTCCAAGATATTTTCTTGAGTTAAATTTGTTGTTTGTCAAAACGAATCAGTTGGAATGGAATCACATTTTTAAGAAAATTATTACACAATTATATCGATTAAAGGTGACTTTCAGGAGATAATTTCCCTGATTCGTATTTATTTGCATCCGTTGTTTTCTTGGCGGTTGTTGGTTCACTTGGAATGAGTAAATCTTTATACAATTCCGACTGAAGGAATCGCAGGTAAGCATCTTGTTCCAACATTCCTTGAATTTTACGCTGAGCGATATCGAAAGTTGACTCTTCGGGTGACGTTAAACTCGATAAAATATCACTTCGTAAATTAGGATCTAAATTAATCTAAAGACAAAGAAAAGAAAACATTTCCATTAGTTAAGAAAATAGAAGAAAAAAAATTCTTTTTCTCGACAAATAGACACAATGGTTATTCTCACAGCGAAGGGTTAAAGTCTTGGATTAACTTCTTAACCTTTTCAACCGATTAAGAGACGAAAAAGTAATTCTTCATTTGGATTATCTTAATTAACTTAATCTTCACTTAATCAATTCTAAAGTAAATTTTATCTTCAACTTTCTTTGTTCTCTATTCTTTCAATGTGATCATATAATTATCCCTTTTTTTTAATGCATTTTGATTATTATTATGGAAACATAATAATTGATACAAATGTTAATCCGTTTAACTTGATTATTGTGATTTTTGCTCTCTTATTGTTTTGCTTGTTTATCTCTATAGATTAGAGTTGATTAATTAAATTAAGTGTTAATTTACTTACTTCTTTTGGTGATTTAACGGCCACAAAATCGTCGTAAATTTTACGAGCCTTGGATAGCATTTTATTAGGCCGAACTTTCTTGAATTCTTCACATGCAATCCAAAATTCTATATTCTCTTGACTATATTCCCGTGCCAAGAAGGCCTTAAATAGGCTCGCACCATCTTATTGGATAACAAAAGGGTAAAAAGAATGAATTAATTTTCTATTCTCTTTTAATTAAATTACCTTTTTTTCTTCTCTTTTTTCTTCTCTTAGCTACTTACATTTACTTCTCATGAGAAACTGGAAAGATTCAGACCATTTATGAGCCTCTTCGGGTGTTGGCCTTACGTTGGTTGATTGTATCGATGAATCGGTGTGACGACGCCTCAAGAATCTTAACCTTTGTTTCATATCTTCCAAGGCTCTAAACAAAAGAATCACAAACAATTTTTATCAATTAATCAACATCGCTCATCATTTTGGATCAACCAATCAATCCACTGGTTACTTGAGGTAATTTAACAGCAATATTGTTTAGATTTACAATGTTACTCTTTGTTTCTATCAATTCTTTTAACCAATTTAACTTGAAACAGATTAAATTGGTTTTCTTTTTGCTCTAAAAATCGTTAAGTGTTTGAATTAATTTGACGTTTTACTTTATTTAGAGAATGGTTTATGTTTGATCTAATAACGAAAAGAATTTAAGTTTTAAGGATAGACTAACAACCTTTTTCATCCTTAACCTTTTTCCTTTAGATTTTCTTAATCATCCTTTAATGAGTCTTAATTTACCTCTTTAAATGTGATTTAACATCAAATTACTTTTCTCAAACTAGCTTATCCTTTTATCATATTACAAAGAAACTATTGGATTACTAAGAATTGACCTTTTCTTTTGGTACATTTACAATTAACAGTTTGATACTAATACATTTTCCATCTAAACAATTAACTCTAATTACTTTGTTTTTTTTACTCTTTTTCTTATTTAGATACTTACGGAGCCTGTTTTCGTCCTCGACGTTTCTCTCCAGTTTCACCTTCGACTGTACCCGATGAGCCAGCATGATGTTTCTAATTTAATCATAAATCAATTGGTAAAAGAGAGAAGAAAATTAAGAAAAAAACAAACATATGATTAGATGGTTAAATAATCTAGGATCATTACGAGATACAAATTGAAAACTGAGACAAGAAATTAAACCCAATCATCAACTTGGTTAAATTAATCATTTGCATTCAATGAATATCGTGCTGATCGTTAACTGACCCTCTAATCATTTGCATATGATTAAATTGTAAAAGAAATCAACTGAACCTGTTTAAACAATGGTTTGTATTCATGATGCAAGATCTAAACGTAAACCTAAATTGTCAAGGTTTTCAATACAATTTAGATTGACACTAATTACAATTTCTATTTAATTTACTCAATTTCTCAGTTTTTTCTAGAAGGAGAAACTCAACTAACAATTACTGGATTAACTACTGATCACAAAAGTTATGGTTAATATCAAATGTAAATGTTGATTATTTTTCATACATTAATTACGTAACATTATTGGTCAATCAATTATTGATTGGGAAAAAATGAGCTAATCAATGTTTTGTTGACGGAGTTAGGTAACAATCAAGGGACACAACCTTTGTATTAATAATAATAATACAAAGGTTGTATTGAATAATTGTGTTGACCAGAGATTTAAGTACATGTGTAATACAAACGAAAGGTAATTGATTTAATGCAATTGACTAAATTAATTAAGAGAAAATATCTGATTACATTCATATAGTTGATTGACTGAATATGAACCTTTGTCAAGGTTAATTTTCTTGGACAAATTAACCTTATTCTCTATAATCAATTATATTCAATTATAAATGTAATAAAATAGAAGAGAAATTAACCTTGGTTGTATATATTATCGTTCTCCTTGAATCTTGATCGAAATGTGAACAATTAATTATTAATCTAATTTAACTTACCATTGGTTTTTCTCTTAGGAAAAGTGCATGTGATGGAACATCTTTGGAACAACCAGCAGAATGAGTTCGTCGTAAAAGACGAGCCAATCGCCCGGGGCCAGAAAGAACAACATTGGCCACTGATGCTTTTCGTTTCTCCGTCGAGGTTGAAGACGTTGATCGACCAGAATTACCACTGGTAACGGGCTGGTTTGACCCTGAGGCTGTTGGTGTTGATGGAGAGGTTGAAGGTTGATCAAGTTTACGTGAAGTTGACGGACTTGAACTGGGAGCTGATTTATCTCGTCTAAATCTACCAGTGAATATCATTTTAGGTGAAACACTTCGAGTACCTGGCGTTAAAGTGACCTTATCACTGAACATTAAATCATTATGTATTTGATCAGAACTTAAACTACCAGAGATTTTCCTTTTCACCAAAGATCCAGGATCTAAAAGTAAACCTGATTTGTAACCTTTTCCGGCTTCCAATGAGGAATCGGAAGACATTGGCTTGGCTTCATCTCTCTCACAGCAAGTCCCTGTCGATCCAGATACTTCTGTAAGATGATGATGATTATGATGACGATGGTGATGATGGTGATGGTGATGATGATGATGTGATGAGGACGATAAATGATGATGGTGACCCATCCTTGAGCCACCTCCTACAGCACCTCCCAGACTTATGCCGGAAACACCGTGACCTGAAGAGGAACCAGTTATATCGGGATGTAAGAGTAAACTATCAGCAGAAACTGTACATTTACGAGTAAATTCAAGTTCGATACCAGAAGAACTGCATGAAGAACCAATTGATTGATCGTCAGCGGGTCGAGAGAAAAATTGACTGTTAACAATTAAGAAATAATATTTACCACAATTAGTATAATATTTTTGTTTCTTTTCTATTTTTTTTTCAGGTTTTCGTTTCGTTCACCTAAGACGGAGGATAAATTAACTTAATAACATATCAGAGATTATAATACAATTTAATTTATTTCAAACTAATGATGCCAATGGATAAACAATTAACGACACTTTTTGATTAGCTATATTCAACTGATCAAATGATGAATATCATCTATGTGACTTGAATTTCAAGCTACAAACTACATTTGGTTATCATGAGGTGTTGAACTAAATTCAACAGATTCATTGATGTATTGATATGAAAATTTTTGTTCCAACAAAAGGAATAAAAAACTTTTGATCTCAATTGCCTAACGAATCAAAAGTTTGACATTTAACCAAAGTTGATGAAAAGCAATTAACATAATTGTGATTATCTCATGTTTCTCATGATTATTATCCAATAATTACCCAACCAACCTGTTGAAGAGTTTAACAAGAAGAATAAAGAAAAGTTCTGAGTAGCAATAAGATTTCCTTGTAGACCAACAAATATATGACATTAGAACTTTTTTTTCCTTCTTTTTCCTATTCGAACTTGACATTTTTGAGTGAAAGTGATCGAAACTTTTTCTTTTTCTTTTAAAGATAGAAAAAGTTTTTTCTTTCATTTTTTTTCTCACCTTTCTAGTTAATTAAATTCTAATCTCATTATCGATCTTAACATCTTAATTAATATACTGTAGATAATGATGATCATCAAGATGAACTAAAAAGTTTCACCTTTTCGAATGATTTTTTTTTCTCGAAAAAATCATCATTTCGATTCTATCAATGATAATGAGCTCACTAAAGTTAATCTTCATCTCTTTAATGGCTTCATCCCTTCATTTCACACCTGAAGAAAAACTAATCTTAAATATCTAATTGTTTGATTAGTATTTTGTATTCAAATGAATTCAAATTGTTAATCAATGTGAAGTCTCAAAAATTTACCTGACGATCAGTTAACTCATATGAATATAATTTAATCAATTCTATCTTCTTACCTTACAGATTATAACTTTTTCTCCATCATCATTATCATCCTACTCTCATTAAATGTTGGATATTTACCTTAAATACTTTTTTTTTGGAAAGTTCAATAACAGAATCAACTTTCCACCCATGTTGATAAACTTAATTTCATCCAAAGTGAACACAATCATTTAAAATATATATGAAATTAAACAAACCCCCGAGGCGAGAGTCAAAAGTTGATCATGGTGATGTGACTGTTATCATTTACTTTTGGTTATTATTATGGTTGATGGAGGTAAAAAAAGTTCTTAAAGCAGTTTCATTGACCTTTCGAGTTTAAATTGGTTCATCATTTTATTCATTATCTTGAGAGAATAACTAGAAAAATAATAACTTTCAGCGATAATAATGATGGTGAAAATGACGGTGATTTAATCGTGAAGAAGCAAGTTTCAAATTCCCAGGCAAATTTCCCCGATGTAAGTAAATTTATTATTCTAATCAAAAGTATTATTTTCAATTCTCTCTCATTGAATTCATAATTCTGTATTTATCTCCTCTAAGGTTTAACGTTTCTCTATCACCTCTGAGTTTCTTACGTTTCTTTATTGAAACGGAAATGAATAGAAGGTGAAAAGATTCAGTTTATTTCAGTTCAGTGAACTGAAATTTTCCTTTGTGAATCAGTTAGATTTATTATCAACGTGATGGCCAACAAGAAAACAGCCACTTCGAAAACAATAACATGTAAAAACGTCTCGAGTTTAATGGTCAATATTTTTTTTTTATGATTCTTATGTTTTCTTTCATGATGAACATGATGATGATTGTTTTTATCTGTTTATCTTATTATCCCTCTCTCAATATTGTGTTCATTTTCATGAAAAATTTGTTCAGATTCACGATTCTAATGATTGATTGTCATGCAACAAGTTGATTATTTTACCTCATTACTGTTCAATCAATGAAATTGTATCTTTCTTTCATATATATTTATATATTATTACATGAGTATATATCTTATCTCATGAATCTCCTGTTGTTTTTGAAATTGAATGGATTAGATTGAAATAAATGAACCAAATCCAATGGACTCTCATGAAATGGGAATTGGTTGACTGGTCAGTTGATGGCTACACATTTTACTCTCTCATCCACTTGTCATCATCATGATTATTATCATTATTCAGTGGTAAGAAAAGTTCATTGAGAGTAACTGATGACAAGTATATATTTAAGATACTTCAATCTCAATTTCATCAGAAAATTGAGTTTCTTTCTTTCTCCCTGTTTCCATGATAAAGTAATTAAGGACCAAAAAAGACTAGGAAATAATTATTTTCTTGTCCATCATTGGTTAATAATCGAATATCTGATTTTCGTTGTCCAACATAAAAAGTACGACCAACAAACTAATGACCTTTCTTTGAATCTACTAAGTTAAAGGTCATTCGGTTTACTAATCTGATAATAATTAATAAAGAAATCGAGTAATAATCATTAATCTGCTCTGATTTCATTCGCATCATTCACTTATTTGAGTTAATTGATGAGATTAGATAATTGATCATGCTCATGATTTAGTTGCAAATTTCTCTTGAAAATTAATAGTTATTATCTAAATAGCCCTGGGAATGGAAATGATAATTATTATGATAAATCTCTGAGAAAAATATTCATACAAGAAAAGAGTAACATAGTCACGCCATCTAGACAAATTCTGAATAACTTTGGAACTTTAAGAAAATGAATAAATTGAATTTTGAGAAAAAAAATTTAGTAAATTTGATAGTAATTGAAATTATGAATTCTTATCCTTTCGTTTAGATCTGATGGACTTTAATGGACTCGAATTGGATAATAATATTGGTGAAATTCTGAATTTCGATTGGTTCATTTACTTACAATGATGTACTTCCACTTGGTGAAGGTGTACTCAGGGGAGATGGACTTCTACTTGATTCGATTTTGCATTTGGGGGATGTGGTCTCTTCGATTGTACCTTCATCTGATCGGTGTTCCAACTGCTGATGGCCCATGGATGAGGCTCGTTGATGGTGTTGATGAGAATGATGAGTTGATATTAAAGGTAGATAATGTTGAGAATGACTAATGTGTTCCGGTGAATGATCAGCTGAATGAGTTCCAATTGAATGAGGTGATGATCTTTGATGATGATGATGGTGGTGATGGCGAGAGTAATGAGGATGGAATTTAATTTCCTCAGGAACAGTTAATGATTGTTTTCGATCTCGGTTTCCACCGATGTTCAACTGATTACCCGGCAGATTGCTCTCCAGTGAAGCTGATATATTGTCCCTAAGGTCACTATTTCCACCCGATGTTTGCCAATAGTTGACAGAGTTTTTATTATTATTATTAATATTTGTATCACTTGAACGATCAGCTGAATTTTTACCGTTATTTTTATTGTTCGTATTACAGTTGTTGGTGTTTTCTTGGTTTGCAATTGTTGAGAAAGGTGGTAACTCGTCACAAATTTGATGAAAATAAAGGGATGCGGATTTTTTACCAGTTAGTGCTGAAGTTGCATCTTTGGAGGAACAAATTGATTCCTGGAAAGTGTTCAAGATTAGTGTTATCCACATTTCGATAAGATTAAGTTGGTCTCAATTCGTTGGAACGAGAAACTTTTCATTTGATGTAATCAGAATACGAATTTTTAAGTTTTGAGTCACAATTTTTATTTATTCTTTTTCTTCTCAATTGTTTAAACAAAATTTGATGAGAAAACTTTTCTTCAAGTTAATTAACTTCTTATTCAAATCAACCAACATTTAATAGAAATTTTTTCTTTTTAATTGCAGATTTAATCGTTGAAATTTTTTGGATCACAAGGATTTATAAGTTTTGGAATAAGCAACAGGGAATGAATAATCGTGATTTCGGAAAATTGATAAACTGATTCACTTGGAATATAACTGAAGAAAGATTTCATGAGGAACTCGGATATTTATATATGAATTTGGAATTGGGTTTCATGATCATGAGCAAATCTGAATTTCTTGAGAAAGGAAAGGCCAAAGAAAGAAAGGAAGAGAGAAAGAGAGAGAGAGAGAGAGAGAGAGTCTAACATGAGATTGTGTGAGTGAGATGGAGTGAAGATAAATTCTGCTGACGTCAAAGGGAAACCTCAATTCTAAACTCCCAGGATCTCAGTTGGCAATTGTTAGAAAGAAAGAGAAAAAGAAAGAGGTTGAAGGGTCGAGGCTGAAGTTGAAAGAGGAGGAGAAAAGAATCCAGGAGAAAGTAACTAATGATGATGGATCAATAGTTATACGAATCGATGTTAAGAAGAGCCTAGAATTTTTTTTATTCACGAACATGAACAAAGATCGACACAGGAAAAGACAGAGAACATTTTTTTTTGGGATTCGAATGATATTTTTAGAAACTATGACCTCTTATCCTTTGCCATTTTTATCACATCAATGAGATTGTTTTTTGTCTTTCTTTCTCTTTTTCAAGGAGAAGATGATGAACATTTCTTCTTCTTCTCATCACCTTTCGAGCCCTTGTTCACCTGAATTTCGTGGTCTCAGCGCATGGCCTCATGTACTATTATTACCTTGACCGAAGTGCCTCAGGCAAGGTAACAATATACACACAGATTACTATTAATATGCTAATATTTAGCTGAAAACAAAATATTACAAAGATGCTAATGCGATGATGATGATGATGATGACGATGAGATGGATGATAAAAAAGGAAGAGAGCAAGGATGATGATGTGCAAAGAAAACGAGGTCACCATGATTCGGAGTAAAGGGAAGGCGAAAGGTGAGATATGGAAGCAAATGAAGAACTGGGAGTTGAACATGGAATAAATGATTAAAAAAATATTCTAAAAATAGAATATTTATCATTTCCTCATCCCGATTTCTCTCTCAATATTTGTGTTACTATCAACTCGATTTCTCTTTGTGAATGAAAGCAAATATACCTTCATCCTTTTACCTTGAAGCTCCTCCTTTTAACCCTATTTTCGAGGCTTACAAATGAGAAATAACCTTGAAGAAGATGAAGATTATGGATGACGATAATATCTGCATCATTTTCATTGATTAATACTTTTACTCTCTTTCAATCAATTGGAAACACTTGTAATCCCTGATTTGGAAATTTTAATTTTCCAATGCTAATCCTTAATTCAGTTCTAATACTTTTCCCTCTCTTACCTTGCAAATTTTGATTCAATTGAATCAACTGATTGATTATTATCATGAGAACTTTGAATTTATCTCTTCAGGCATTAATCTGTTATTTTTACATATTCAGAGATTCAAGTTGATCAAGATTATCAATGAGGTGAGAAAAATTATTATCTCAATGAAAAGGTAAACATATAAACTCATTTAAACTTTAAATTTTGACCTTTACAGTTTAAATTGAGTATAAATGTCAATTGTGATTCTTAAATTTGTCATGATCGTTATATCATCTGAATTACTATTAATATCAATCAAATTGATGATTAAATAGGAGAAAATGATGAGAAAACATTTAATCATTAGAATCAATTGTCATCTCAATCAATTTGACCTACATTTCAATGTGCGAAAGGGTAAATTGTTGTCAACTGAAATTAAATCAATTGTTACGGTAAAAGGTTAAGTTTACCTTACCATTGATTTTCACTGTTGACATGGTTAATTTTAATCAATACCCAGCGAGTGATAATCAATACAAAAATGATCGTCACAATTTATTTAAGGTAAATATTGAAAATCTCAATACAAATAAGTAAATCTGAAGACAATTATAATCATGATGAAAAATAAATCAATTGGATGGTCAGTTTGTCTTGACCAACGTGACCAACGTGATCAGGAAATTATCAATTGACCATCCAGAAGATTTCAATGCTTATAATTGTTGTTAATTGTTTAAATTATTGGGAAATTAGTTTTATTGGAAACAAATTTTAACCATTAATCAACTGAAATTAACTTTAATTGTGAAATTTTATTTATTTTTTTTTAACTTCATTATGGTAAATTGTTACATTGTATTGATCTCTATCACTTATGTATAATTGATTACATGATTAGCTGAAATTGCTCAACAAATTAAATTATACAATTAGTGTTACGATTGATGAAAATCAGAACTAATTATTTATCCTTAACTTTAAATTCAATCTTTGGCATGATAATAATTATCATGGTGAAGAATCAATCAAAGACCATGATTATCATTAATCTAACTGATTAAACTTAATCATGTTGATTATCTTGATCACCATGTAATTATCATCAATGATTGAAAGATAATGATGATGATGATGATGATGATCAAATGAATGATATATTTTTCATGGAGAATTCAATTTTTTATCTTTTTCTGTGATTTCAATTGAATGGATTGTGAAAATTGTATGTAGACAGTTAGAGTTGATTATCAACAAATGAAATCAATAAACTTTCATGTTTATCATCATGAAAGTTTCAGGACATTGATGATTGATAATCAGTTCTAACCAATACTCTGAGTAATGATAACATTGAACTTAATCAGAACACGTAACATGAATTGATAATAACATGTAATTTATTTTTTCCTGTTCTCAGACAATAAATATCAGTTATTAATTATTCTCAATCAAAATCAACAGCATCTCATTGTTTGCTTACTTTTACAGCGATTCCCTTGTAAAGGAAACGGAAATGATAATCTGTGTATACAAATATAAATATAAATATTATTCATATATTGAACTTACTGTCCAATTGTATTATATGGACTGACCATTAATTGATAATTATAATCATGGTGGATGTGCGTCAATGATTATTAATTGATTTAATCATTTTCAATGAGGAACAAAAAAATAAATCAATTGATTTAAATTCACTTGAAATCAAATTGTTTTTTTTTTGTTTCTTTCAGTGTTGAAATGAGTTCTATGTACTTGGAATGAGATTCAGAGATGATCATGAAAACATGATGAACATTGGGAAATCATCAAAGTTGAAATTTACTTTGAAATCACCGGAGAAATAATTACAATTTATCAATGTATCAATTACCATATTAAATCAATCGCATGTGACGTTCATTGATCAAATCAAGTGACCAAAAGATGGACAATTAAAACATCATTCATAAGGTTAGAGAACTTAAATCAACAATTAATGATGATCAAACTTTATCTTTTCTGGTAATTAGTAAATTATCAATTCATTGATCCTTATCGATGTTATTATCAACAACAATCAACTGATGATCAGTTAGATGATTGTTATTACATCTATGGGGCTTAATTCAATTAATCAGATGATTTGATTTCTATTTTTAAATTTAATCAATGAAACTTTCACTTCCTAGTAACCCAGTTTTTCAGTTGATTTATTTCATATATAAGATGAGGATGAAGATAAAAAAGTCAAGGTGAAAGTTGGTTGATTGTTTTGCGCATCCCAAAGTGAATCACATTTAATTTAATCATTTCTTTTTCTATTAATTGTTCATTGTTGGATAAGTTTTCCAAGTCCATCTTCTTGAGCTCATTTTGTTTCAGCGATTTGTGGATATAATATAGCGATCACAATTACGATCTTAATTTGCCGAGCTAAATTTAGAATCAGAATCCAGGTCATGACCTGGAATCGTTTCTGTTTTTAAGCTGGGAGTTTATCTGTTACTGAATGTATTACATATCATATTAAATGAATATCATGATGAAATCATCATGAATTTGATTCTTACCTGAGCATTTGTCTGTTATTCAGGAAATTTCATTTCCATTGTCAATAAATAGCTCCAATTCTGGGTCAACCATAAAAATAGATCTCATGTTGATGAATTAATTTTAATTTGCTAAAAATTTGGTAACTTAATTAGTCAAATAATCTTTATGATGATTGATCGAGTCATTTACTTTTTAATTAGTTTTGTTTTTCTTTGCCTTTTCAATTGATCTAATTAGAATCTAATAATTAGATTTATTCTGAAAGTGATTGATATCCAATCATATTGACTATTAGGATAATTAATCTCATTGCTTTAGGATATTGGCTTTGGATTTGATTGTTACAATTAAGGTGATTTATTTGTGTTATGTTTGATTAACCAGATTAAAATTGATTTATTAATACTTTCTAATCAGACTAAATATTAAATGATTAGTTAATCTGAATCACATTGATATTGAGAAATGATAATATTGAATTAATCAACTGATCATCGTCAATATGATTAAGTCAATTGTGATTAAAATTTTGAGCTACATTTGTCTTTGTCATATTTCATTGGTCACCTTGATCAGATTAATAATTAACTGGATTAATTAACCATTTAATTTGTTATCACATTTTCAGACTGACGCACGATCATAATCAATGAAAATTTGGTTAATTGAACGGATTAAAGATTAACATTGTACCAACAATTTACTAATCAAATCAATCCAATAACACACATTAAGATTAAATTGAATAACTCAAAATTAGCTGTAAAAATATTGGTACAAATTCAATCAATCTAATTAGCACCTAATTTATTGATTGTAGGTGAATAATTAGCTTAAATTGATTCACTAATAATCAAACACACACACACACTAACAATTAGTACGTCATCAATTTGATTATCAACGTTTAACCAACTACATGTTATTAGTAATACAATAAATTGAATCAAATGTTGATTCAGTTGTATTAGTATTTAATTGTGAATAAGGGGATACGAAAAATTGGTTCAGTTAAATTGGAAACAATTAACAAATTAGCATAATGATTATGTTGATATGAGATTGAGGGGAAAAAACTATAATTGAATAGACGTAAATGTTTATTTCTATTTTTAGAAAGACAAGTTTCAGGTCAGGTCACAGGGATTGGGTATTGTGTTTAAATGAATGAAACTCAGGGAGTGAGTTTGGTGAGAGGGAGAGGAGAGGGAGAGGGTATTTGGCCTAGTTTCATGATGGAGTAAATTTATTCTCAATGAATACTCTCTTTCATTCATTCACTTGGTAGGTCAGACTCACTCGAAATGATCCGCATCACTTTTATCCTTTTTTCTTCTTTCTCATCATCTTACAGATTCTAAGAAAGAGAAAATCGATCAACATCGACTCGAACAACCGAATGACCTGAATAAAGTAATTTCTCTCTAAGAGAAAGAAAAAAAAGTTCTTTTCTTTTTCCAGGTCACCTATTTTTAGCATCATTCTCGTCATTCTCAAGTCAACAGAACTTTATTTCTCTCTCTCTCTCTCATCCGTTATATGTGTTTCATGTTCTGGATTGTTCAATAAGATTAGAAATAGATAATAGATAAAAATAAGATCAGTCAGCCAGGAGATGATGAAACTTGTCATCATTACACTAGGAAGATAAAAGCACGAAAAGGAGGTTATGTTGGGCTGATGATGATGTTAACTGGGAGTGAAAAAGTGAGAGTTAAAAGTTATGAATGAAAGTAAAGTTTCTGTGAATCAGGTCAACTTATATAGAGAAAGAGAGTGAAAACTTTTACGTTACATTTTCCCCCTTGGGATGTGGATCAGGGAGGCGATGCTTTCATAAGCATCCTTATCCTTTTCCCTCATCCCCCATGATGAATTCAGACCATTAAGTGGGACAAACATAGAAACACCGATCCCAAAAAATAACTATTACGTTATTATGGTTAATCTAAATTAATATTTCTCTCGTCGTCTTCTCATTATTATTATTATATTTCTTTCACTGCAAATATAAATTCCCTTGGGCAATTTGTTGAAAGTTTTCTTTTTTTGCCTTATATTAATAATTGTAATTTCTTATGATAAACCAACGAAGATATTTAAATTTTCATGACTTTGGCCTCAATCGTCTCTGAGTTTCAGGACAAAATCCGTCATTTTCTTCATGATAAATTCAATGTGAATTCATTTTTCATTTCTCACCCGATTCTGATAAAAAAAAATATTCAACATGATCATAATATTAATACAAACTCAATAACAATCAAAGGTGATCAAAAAATTGTGTCCATCATGATACATGATAATGGTCATCATGAGGGAATGAGATAGTCACCAAATCAAATTGACCTAATTCAATTCAATTCACTTGTTAAATATAATTAAATAACAATGAAAATGATGAAGATGATTAAATAAACCAAATCAATTAATTTCTATCTACGTAAAGACTAACACTATTCTAGACTTGATTATCTAAATACTTTACTTTATCTCTAATTTAATTAACGGTTTCAATTTAAATGCTCTAATTTTGGTTTATATTTAAGTATTTCTCATTTTCACAATTGATATCAAGTTATAATATCTGATAGTTGAATCTTTAACTTGTAATCAGCTAATGTTAAAATGGCAAGATTAATTCAGTTAATTAATGATTAATGTAGTTATTGTTTCTGAATAGGTCCGAGTTGGAGTCCGAAGCCCTCGGGTCATTAATTGATTACGTTCACATTTTGACCAAACCAGAAAATGATCTAAATTATCGCCTTGGTGATGTCAACAATTCGATGTTAACTTAATTTGTCAAATCGAATCATTTGTTTCTCTTTCTAATATTAAATTAGTAAAACGTGAGAAAATTTTTTTTTCAGAATTTGCTTATTCTCAAGCTTATCAACCTTGGAAAAGGGATTATCTCAAAAGGAGAGAGATTCGATTGACGAATCGACTCGAAACTCGGTAAAAGTTTTCGAAGTCACCGAAGAGCATCACATTTCATTCTCATGTTTCTCTAAATTCACCAGTGTCTCCATCTCATACTAAGAAAGAAAAACTTTCTATCGTGATTCTAGTCTTTGCTTTTCTCTCTTGTTTTGATTTTCTCTCTGTGCCTTACCAAATAATCTAGTCAAATTTTCCTTCTAATCCTCAGTGATGTTACCAATCAACTCCAGTTTCTCACAATCACTGGAATCATTGAATCCAATTTGGTGGTTTTCTTTATCCGCTGCAGCAACAGTTGGACTGGTTGGAGTGATTCCAATTTTCTTCATTTCCTACATACCTCAGGGTAAGAATCAAGGTAAGTACAGTCGACTAAAACACTTACCGCAAGATCCGTGATTCAATTAGAATCTCAGTTACTAATGTTCTACTCATCTCTGATTATCCCACCAAGTGGAAAGGGTTTATAATAATATGAGAGATTTGCCTGATTAAGAAACACTAGATGGCGACTATCAGAAACAAATAAAAAATTCGAGATACAAATGTGAACATTATTATTGAATTGGGAATATCAGTTGATACTAATCAATTGTTTCTCTTGTTGTCCATTAATCCACAGGATCTAATAGTAAATTAAGATTATTGTTAAGTTTTTCCGTTGGTGGTTTACTGGGTGATGTTTTCCTCCACTTACTTCCAGAGGCTTGGACACACGTTCATCGATCGGGATCGTCCATAGATACACACACGACCCTTGGACTTTGGGTGGTCACTGGTATCTCGACTTTCTTGACCATTGAAATGATATTTTTGTCAACTGGCTCAACCTCAAAGGTATTAAACATCATATGATTGTGGTCACTTTTATATTACTGTTTCATTCAATACCATTGGTCATCTATTTTCAGGGTGATGTCAACAATGAGATTAATAAAACACCAAGTGCTCAAATAGTTATCAACTCCAATCAGAATAAAAGTAAATGTATCGATAAAACTGAGACAAGGACGAAAGACGAAACTGTTCAAAGTTCATCGGGCATCTCAGTGACTGGATATTTAAGCGTTTTCGCCAACGGGGTCGATAATTTCACCCATGGCCTAGCGATTGCTGCAAGTTTTTCTGCTGGATTCAAGGTAAATTAACCGCGACAATTAATTCAATTGTAACTATTAACTGGTTTCTTTTTTTCTTTCAACAACTCTCTCCATATTTCTTATCAATGTCAACTGATTAATTTCAATCTAATATTAACAACTGAAATCGGGTTATCTTTCACTAGCATCGATGAAACCGGATTAATCAATTAACTATTTAACTACTTGACTCGAAACATTTAATCTATTACATGAGTTAACAATGGATTTAGGTTCATTTGTTTACAAGTGAGACATTCAGTTAATCAATAGTAATTTAGATGATACAAAATAATAACAATGGTAAAGATTGAAAATTTCATAATTAACTAATCGATTTGATGATTTTTTGCTCCCCTCTTTCAATTAGATTGGTGTTTTAACAACCATCGCAATATTAATACACGAGGTTCCCCATGAGTTTGGTGATTTTGCAATCCTCATGAAATCGGGATTCTCTCGGTGGAAAGCTATTCAGGCCCAAATTCTTACCGCTGTCGTGGCCATGATCGGTGCTCTTGTCGCCTTAATTGCCGAAAGTAATGCAAGTGAAGTTGGAAAACACACTCAATGGATATTACCTTATTCTGCTGGTTGTTTCCTCTACATTGCGATGAGCAACATTTTACCCGATTTAATGAAAGAAGACAATCCAAGAGAATCAGTGAAACAATTAATCTGTATCACGATTGGCATAACAATCATGGGATTAGTTAATCAACTTGGAGATATTTCTTTCACATCGTTTTTATGAGAGAGCAATCAACAAACAATCAACAATTGAATGACAACATTTCATGACAAGCAGAAACACACACAAAACTCTGATCACTGTGATTAATTGCTAAATTAATATAAATCATCATCAAATAATATCAACCAAAATTCACCTTCTTCCTAAAACTAATTTGGTTACCCACTAATCTATATAAATATATATATATTAATTGTTGTTCATTATCATTATTATTGTTATAAATTTTATCACAAATCAACAACAAATCCAATTGTGTTATTTGTTGTGATATTTTGTATTCTATTAATAACTTTTTCCTCTTAAATCATATTCATGATCAGTCACGATCATCATCATGATTTACCCAACAATTAGAGTAAAATAAACACCACAAAACTTGTAAATCATTTTCACCCGTAATTAGATTAACAAGATTTTGTGTATATACAATTTACCGATCGTAATAAAAGTTAATCATTTTATTATCATAATTTGCTTTTTTTTTGTTATTCCAATGATTAAACTAATTCTTGAAGAACCACAAGAAGTACTGATAATAATAAATAATAATCTTCAATCCTGATCAACTGATTAATCGTAATCATGATGATAGAATCAGTTTCCTTTTCTTGTGTTAAGTTAATTACTCAAACTTGAATCAATCGTTTTAATTGTCAGATATAAATATTGTTTCCTGTGGTTGTAATCATCAAAATCTAATGAACAAACCAAAGGAAATTTATCATTAACTATTTACCATTGAAACAATTTAGTTTAACTTTCTAACTTGTTAACTGTTATCTGATTTACTCTTTAAGTATCTCTCAGTGTGTATATCTTAATTGTTTGTGTTTCTTTAATCATCATGGTCGCCATTTTGAGAAACGTTGAAGGAGAGGAATTGACAATGGTCAACACTTTGCTGACCTTAAAGGAGTTACAACGGATTCCTAAATCATCTTGGGGAATTAAGGATAAAGAAATTGAAATTGAACGTAAAGGTGCCGATTTGTTTTCAATTAAATTAAATCCAGTTAATGTGCTTAATGGTTTGAAAAGTTATTTCAAAGATATGACAATCACTAGTGTCTATCATGTTGATAGTAAAAAAATTGTCACAACTTGGACAATTTGGTGAACAAGTTTACATTAATCAAGTTAATCTACTGACCAATGTCCAATTACCTGTGAATATTAATTTCTCAAAGTGTTAAATCATAAAAAAAATACAAAATTCACTTCAATTGATTTGATTTGCCAACAATTTTCATTTCATTAAAAAAACATAACAAAACTTATACTAATTCTTACCAATAGATGGCGTTAGTTGTCGAAATGATTTACTAATTAATCAAATTGAATGTTTTGTAATATGATCACAATCAAAGAGTAAAAATGATTAAAACTAAGTTTGTATTTTGCTAATTATCAAAGAAAAAGGTGAACAATTGTTTCCAGTTTTTGTTTTATTAATAAATCACAATCACAAATAATTTAATTAGATAATCATTTTTGAATCAGTTGATGGTTGATGTTGAGTCTTAAATCATTGCTGATAAATTACACTTGATAAAATGTTAAAATCATTATGATAATTAATTTTAAATTGCTTCTTTTGTTTTCACAGATTAAATTCATTGATACATTTTAGAATCAATCTTATATTCTTGTCAGATTTGTAATGTTATTGTGAGTTTTTTTTTATTAACTTCCTGTTACAATAAAAAGGTCTGCAAGGTTTTAGTTTTAATACAAATTCACCAAAAAGGAAATTTATCTTTGCCTATCCAACATGTTGATTAAGTTCTAAATAATTAGACTTGTCTTTAATTTACAAGTTTTTAGCTTAATTATGTTGTTCAATTTTTCATTATCTGTTGGTTATTTTTCTTTCTCACTCTCTCATACTCACCCCTTGTTCTCACTCTCTCTCTCTCTCTCTCTCTCTCTCTCTCTCTCCTCTCGTAATCTCTGTGAGTGTGTGTATGTGTATATAATTAGAAATTGATGCATTTTTACTGTAATCGAATTATTTGCTGCTAAGTTTAGGTTCTCCTTTTGATTCTTCAGTGGATTCTTCTTTTGGTTCGCCTTTAGATTCAATTTTAGCTTCACCTTTGGATTCGCCTTTTGTTTCTGCCTTGGATTCGCCCTTGGATTCGCCTCTTACTGATTCTCCTTTAGGTTCGCCTTTGGCGAGTTTCTCTTCGATTTCTCGTTCACGAGCTGCGGTATCTACTGGTTTGGCACCGCCAAATATCGCAGAGTTTGAAACTTCTTGAGTTTCACTTTCAATTGGTTTAGAACGAGGTTGTAGCTTTAATTTAGGTCTTTCTTTTGGTGTGTCATCATTACTTTTTGAATCTGTGGAAAGAGCTGATGGTGAGTGGCGAGAGCTTCTTGGTTCAAAACCAGAATCATATTTTCGACTGGACGGTCGATCACCCATGTCACTGTTCTTGTCACTTCTGTCACTCCTATCACGATAGTCACGATTATTGTCACGGTATCGGTCTCTCCTATTATCATAACCAAAACTACTGCCACCTCTTTCTTCACGATAACCATCTCTATCCCGGAATCCACCTCCACCTCCACGTCCACTACCAAAGTCTCGATCTCTATTATCACGAAAGTCTCGGTTATCTCGATCTCGGAAATCTCGATTATCTCGATCTCGGAAATCTCTGTTGTCACGATCACGGAAATCTCTATCACCTCTTTGGAATGAACTTCGCTCACTCCATCCGTCACTACGTCTTTCATTCCTATCATAACTAAATCTGCCTCTGTAAGTTTGTGACTCATAAGGCTGTTGATAATCACTACCATTTCGAGACAATAAGGGTTGATCACGTTCTCGAGCACCAGATCTCCAATCTCCAGCTGTTCTATCTTCACGATCGTCATTACGATCTCTTCCAAAACCACCTCTTGACGGCCTATCATTATCTGAGATAGTATTAAAAAAGGAGACAAACGGTTAATTAACAAGTTGAATAAACATTTCAAAGAAAAAAACTTAATAGAAAACAAATATAAAACAGATTCTACCTTCAGATAGAGAGACTCGAATGTAACGATTCTTTAGAGAGTCGCCATTTTGTTGAAGAGCTTCAATAAGACTCTCTTTATCTTCGAATTCGGCAAATCCTACCCCTTTGATCTTACCACGATCACCATCTCTAATCAATGTAACATTGGTTATCTATTTAAACGGGAAAAAAGTTCAGATTAGTAAATGAAGACCAATTCAAATGAGAAATTAACATACCGCAAGTTTTTTAAAAAATCTCATTATTTCCTCTTCGGTAACATCATATGGTAGATTACCAAGATAAGCTTTGTAAGGTGGTCTATCGGGTACTTTGGATACATCAAAATCTGGAGTTCGAATTGATTTAGGAACGGTAGGTAGAATCACTTTATTTGAAGAAGATTTATTATCATAATATTTTTCTGTTTGCAGGGATGAAAATTAGAAGAAAAAAAAGAAGCCATTAGAAAAGAGAAAGAATTAAGATTAGCAAGAGTTTATTTACAAAATCACCGAGATATTTTACTTGCAATACGAGAAGTTTATGCTCAGATAACAACTCAAACTTTCAGATTAAGGCCTCGTTTTTTCATACAAATGATGGATAAACATCATTGTAAATCAAAGAGAAAAGTTAAACAAAAGATGCAAAATGATCAAGCTGAATTAGTTGTTGGGAAAGTAGATTGCGAAATTAGATTAAATGAGTAAATTGCTAATTACATTTAAGCTAAAATGATAGATCGATTGGTGAGCTGTTTCTATGGATATGAGAAGTGAAATTATTTTTTTTATCGATTATTTCGATGACAGTTGGTCAAAAAAATAGAGATTAACTAAAGACAATCGATAGTGGATGAAAAAAAGCCATTCCTGAGGGCTTTTAACCAGTATTTACTCAGACCCGACTGTAAGATAGGATTTAGAAATCAAAACATTCACATAGAGAAAGATAGAGAGAAAAATAAAGAGAGAAAGAAAGAAAGAGAGAAAAACAGAAGCATGGAAAACATGATCATGAAAAAGTAAAACTGACAACACATAATGATTCCTACGTCGTTATTAACAAGTATTAAAGAAAGACGATGATATTATATTTGTAATGGATGAAAAAGAGAAAAACGAAAGAGGAAATAAAGAGAAAAAAATTTGACGAATCAATTCATACCCTCATCTTCGTCATCCTCATCATCAGCCCAATTTAAAGGTTTAGCAACAGCATAACCGGAAGGTGCTTCAGCCTGATCGTTTAGGAACGTTTGAAGAGCAAGTTTGACTCCTTTGGTTTTGCGCTTGCCTTTTCCTACTGAGGTATTGGCATGTAATTCAGGAGTAGTCCTAGTTGGATAGATGGTAAGAAAGAAGAAACAAAAATGTGTTAGGAACATGTTAAAAAGAACAAAAAATTATAGCTTTTTGATGGCAAATCCATTGGCAAGATAATATTAACATTTTCGCAAAGGATTATACTTACATTATGGTCTATGGTGTTTATCAAAGATTTGATTGACAGAAAGCCGGTGATTCTAATCAAGTCCAGAGATTTGGGAATAACACTTTAGGTAATTGGAAATACACCTTTTCTTTTTGCTTAATTTCAAAAAACCAGGTAAAAGAAAGAGAAAATGAAGATAGTCTTTCTCTAAAATTTAGAAAGAGAAAATAGAAAGAGAAATAAAAAAGAGAGGCAACAATCATTTGGAAATCTGAGTCAGACATTTTTTTCTGGGGTTCGTTCACTAATTACGATCCGTTCGAAATTCTCTAAATTTAATTTTCTTTAAAAAGATTTAAAAATTTACCAGTTAATTAAAAATTCTAATTAAATTATTGATGAATTTCGATTTTTTTTTCTTTCATGGAGATTTTGACTTGTTTCAATTGTGGAAATGAGAAAATGAGAAGACCATCAAATGAACATTTTTTGTTAACTTTGAGTTAAATTGTTGATTTAAAGTTTAATTCAATTAGTTTGATTGTTGATTATTTTTTGATCAGGGATTTTATTTTAGTAATTAGAGGATTATGATGATTTGAATTGATTAATGAGAATGAATTTATTTTCTTGTCTGGGTAACAATTGTGGATTAGACCAAACAATTAACTTAATTGGCCTTTGACATGTTTAATTGTTTACATTGTACATTAATTATCTTACAATTTCATTTTGTTAATTAGATGATATAAAGTAAAATTAGTAAAACAATTAAATTTTTTAACAACCAAAGGTAACAAGTTGAATGATTTAAACGTCACAATAATTATTATTTGATTACAATTAACCGATCAATTGGAATAGCAAAAATATTAATCAACTAAAAAGTTAATTGTTATTAAACTAAATCAATTTACGCACAGTAAGTCAATATATTTATTTACTGGATACTAATCATCTCTTTTCATCTGATAATTTAATTGTGGTACAATTAAGATAACAATTAATGTATATTGTAGCTCTTGATCCAAGACAATTTAACCTCATGTTTAACTTTGACCTGATAAACAACAATTAAGGTACAATTAAGATCTGAGTGGACAAATTGTCAACCTAATTGTAAATATTTTTCAGATTAATGTTATTTGTATGTTTATGGATAAACTTTTAATTGCTTGGTCTTAATCAACAGATAATTGTTACTGTTGACTGTAAATATATTAATTAATTGCCATCAACTCACCAGCCGCTAATTAATTTATTGGGGAGAATTAAAAAAATTGATCAAAACCATCATCTTCTCATTGGAAGACAATTTATTTCAAAGTCAACCATTAATCGTAACAATTAAAGTTGATCAACTTGAGGCTCTTTTTTGCCTTCCATAGACAAAAATTATATAATTCAATTGGTTTAATAATCAAATTAACAGTTAATCAAAAATGAATAATTTAATCAAAATTTTCATCTACGTTCAAATTGTATCAATGTTAACAATTAATTATTCAAATGGAGCTGCAGTAACTCAGTATATGGTTTATCCAAGTGGGTGAGTTAATTGTTCCCAGTTAAATAACTGTTTTTCTATGTAATTGTTATAATTAAATGCTTATTTCAATAATATGAATTTTAATTTTAACGTTAATTATAGAGGATCAGTTTGTTTATCTAATCAATTTCATTGTTTTAATGGTCATTGTATTGATAAGAGTTTACTTTGTAATTATATACCTGATTGTCCATTTGGTGATGATGAACAATCATGTCCATCTAGAGCTCTATTGGCACCGACAATTAAGAAAACTGATCCATCTTCATCAGTTAATTGTGCACCAGCTCAGTTTTATCAATGTCAAGAAAGTAACGAATGTATCCCTTGGTCACAAATTTGCGATGGTAAAATTCAATGTCTTCGGGCCGATGATGAGAGTTACGATCAATGTAAATCAGTCCCTGGGTTTAAGCCACCAAAAAATCACCAGAAAACGCAACAAGTACCATCGAGACCTCAGCGTCAATCACAACCACAACCACAACCAAAACCCCAACAATCCCACCAACAACCCCAACCTAAGTCACAACCACAACCACAACAACAACAGCAACCGCAACAACATCCCAAACAACCCCAACCCCAACCTGAATCACAACCACAACCACGGCACCAACAACAACAGTCACAACAATCCCATCAACAACCACAACAGCCCCAACAGCCTAAACAACCCCAACAACCTCAACCACCCGAACCTGAACAAGTAGAAAAAGTTTCGAGTTCAAAACGGACAACAAACAGTTTCTCATATGGTCAATGGGTCAGTCCAAGCCCACCGACTTACGTATCAACCTCAACAACAAAACCTTCTTGGTCATCTTATGCCTCCTCGACTGTCGATTATTCAAATCATGATTCTAACTATGGCTCTAATTATGGTTCTAATTACGGCAACAGTAACTATACGAACGGCAATGGTACACAAGAAGAATCGAAATCAACTTCAGTTAAAACAACGAAAGCAGTTCAAAGTGGAGATCAGTCTCAAAACAATTTCTACCAAGATCAAGATGAACCTGGTTTTGTTTTCGTTAATTTCGGTCCAAGTAAGTTAATTGTTGATTAATTGAATCGAACAAATTTTCTTTCCTTCTAATCAACTTAATCAGTAAAAGTTAAGCTCAACGTCTTTTATTTTTCATTAACATAATCATTACTTGATTGTTACGAGTGAATAGCAAAATCAACGTCATTCAACATTCTGATGATTAATATTATTAGTTAATTGTTAATCTATTGACAGGAGATAATTAATTACTTTATTGGCCAGAATAAAACAATCAAAGGATTGATTGAGGAAAAGTTGATGAAAATAAATTGTTAGATTTCAATCTCCAATACTATCTAATAGATTGATAGATAATAATAATGTCTCCATTAGATTACATGATTAACTAACAATTATCAATATATTAATTACAATTAACAGTAATCAGTGGTGATAAAAATGTCAATGGAAATGGTAACGATATTGGAAATGGAAACGGAAATGGTAATGAAAACGGCAACGGCAACGGCAATGGAAATGGAAACGATAACAATAACAATAAGGATCCAATTAGTGATAAATATTATAGAAATGATTACAATGCTGGAAGATCATATTAATTGTGACAATTAAAACATAATCACATTCAAAGGAAACTAATTGAATTGATTTCCTTCAAACAGAACAAAATTCAAGCACAATAATATAATATATTTTCTGTACGATTGTCAACTTTACTGATAACAATTAAATCTTGAGCAATTAACAGTCGACATAAAATATTAGAGAAAAATTAAAGTAATTAGCTAATTGTGAAGAATTTGGTCAATTCTAAGTCCATTAGATTCTTGTTTAAACCGGATGATTGATTAGAACACAATTCGAGATTCTCGTTATCGAACTACTCGAACCTCTTGAGAAAAACAATCACCTGTTGATAAACTTCCGAATAAACATTTTTACCGAAAATATAGTCCAAATGAGAAAATTCCCGAGAGTGAACAACGTATTCGATATATGGAACTGTAAGAAATTAGTTGGATTAATTAGTCAAGTTTGGAGATCGAAAGTTATTATTACCTCTGAGTGAGTTTTTCAATCTCTTCACATCATGTGGATCGGCTAAAGGATCACCAAGAGAATGGATGAGAACGATGTTCGGCAAGTTAATTTCACTTAATTCATATTCTGGTGGATGAGTGGAATTGTATACGATCAAATTCCCTATTTTCTCAAAATCATATTTAGCGAATCGACCTGTAGCAATATTGTATAAGAAATGATTCCCCGTCCAAATCGAAGAACCCTGAAATCCATTGGCGAGATATATCGGAACTCTTTGCCTATCGAAATTTTCAAAATCTGGACCACCAAAAAGAGCAAATAAAGCGGCACAAATGCCTATTGTTACGGGTGCGACACAAACTGTATTTGCAATTATATCAAGTATTGGCTTTGGTATTGTAAGTTCGCCTCCTAAAACCGTCAGCGTTGGCTTCAGGGCAGGTACAAAGGCCAGAACTCGAATAGGGTCTGTAATGTCTGACGCAAAAGCCACGGGTGCTAATGCTATGAACGGACTTAATTTCTCTGAATATCCAGGCTGCTCTGCGAGTAATCCAAAAATAACTTGGTTTCCCATTGAATGACCAATCCAAGCAAGTTTTTCTATTCAATTGTTATGGTCAAGTTATAAAATTCTGGTCAGATTAAAATGGACACTACAAGGACGTGCAAGTAAATACTACTTACCATATCCAGTTTTGTTCAAAACATAATCGATAGTTTCTGGAGCATCATAACTAATCACTTGTTGGTAAGAAAATCGCCAATACTTGCTTGCTAATTATGGCCAAAATTGATTAAAGTGTTAAGATCACAAATGATAATCAATTAATCTCTTACCTGGATCATTTGGATTAAGATAGACGTGTTTTTTTGAATATCGAGATCCTCTGAAATTGACTACCCAGACATCGTATGCGAGATTAGCCAATAGGTAGGCCAAGTTTCGTCCATCTTCATAGAAATTGACCTTGACATCTTTACGAGTCCAATCGTCCGCAAACCCGCGAGCGGAATTGATTAGGAAGTTTGTTGCTCCACCAAAAAAGCCGTGAGCTAAAATCAAAGGCTTAATTGTTTTCACTGCGTTTTTAATCAGCACAGGATTGATTATATGTTGAATCGATATGATATAATCATCGGTAAGAGTTATAAAATGTTCATCGCAAATATAGTTACGAGATTCAATCAGTTCACATGGAGTTCGTTGTTCATCAGGAGATACATTCAGAATTAAATTGTCACTAATTCTTGAAATATCATCAACAACTTCAGAAACTGATGGTAATTTCAACAAGCCATCAATGGAAGGAGTTACTTTAGCATCCGGAGATCCACCGGGAATTAAATTGTCACCAATTCTTATGAAATCATCAACTACTCCAGAAAGTAATGGTGATTGTAAAAATCCATCAATCGCTGATAATTCATCACAACAATTAGATGATATCAGAATGAAAAATATTAATAACTGTATCTTCATGTTAAACATTAATTAAGTTGATCAACAACAGAAGGAACAATGAATCAAATCAAACTGTTGGATTAGCATTTAAATCATTTGGTATTGTGATTAGATTCATATGATCATATTATTGACGGTTTATAAAATCAGCGGAGACAATTAATTGGTCTATCAATGAATAATATTATTCAATTTGATTCCGTTACAAATTATCAATAAGTTAGCAATCATGAGGTTCAACTAATTGTAGAGCTAATTTCAATTTTATTCCCTCTAAGATTATAATTGATGAAATCTTTAGGCTTCAATTCAGTTCAGTTGATTCAGTTTTTACAATTCTCAAGATAAATTATCATCATCATGTGCTAATCATCATATTGCACTATTCACACATGCGATTAACAGTTGAATGAGATACAAAATCTGTGGATTACTTATTTTAATTGCTGTGGAAATTATTACAGAGGTTTCAACAATTTAATAGCACTCAAAGGTGCGATGATTAAACATTAATAACCACAAGGTAAATGCTGCACACGAGGAAAGTTTATTTGATTGAATTTAGGTTACAATGAATTAGCCTGCGAACTCATTAATATTTAGATGAATAGATTTTCGGATGGAACGAAAAATTAGAAAATATTAATAATTGTTATTCGAACTTCTTAAGAAAAGAAACCAAAGGTCTATGAACTTGCGAATAAACATTTTCAGCCCATAAAAAGTCCAAATGAGAAAATTTCCGCCACGGAACAGTGTATTCGATATATGGAACTGTAAGAAATTAGTTCGATTGGTTAATCAAGTGTTGAGTTTCGAAAATTATTATCATTCATTTTACCTTCGAGTGAATTTTTCAATGTCATCACGTCAACTGGATCGGCTAAAGTGTCACCAACAGAATCAATTAAAACAATGTACTTTGAATTGATTTTTCGTAATTTATATTCTGGTGGCTCAGTGGAATTATAAACAGCCAAGTTCCCTATTTTCTCAAAATCATATTTAGCGAATCGACCTGTAGCGATATTGTATAAGAAATGGTTCGCTGTCCAAACCGAAGTACCGAGAAATCCGTTTTCAACGTAGACCGAGATTCGACTCATATCGAAGTTTTCAAAATCTTCACCACCGAAAAGCGCAAATAAAGCAGTACAAATATTTGTCGTTACAGGCAAGACACAAATTGTATTTGCAATTAGATCAAGTGTCGGCTTTGGTAGATCAAATTCTCCGCCTTTAACCGTTAATGTCGGCTTGAGGCCAGGTACAAAGGCCGCAACTCGAATGGGACTTGTAATGTTTGAAACATGAGCCACAGGCGCTAATGCAATGAACGGTTTTATGTTATCTGAGTACTCCTTTCGTTCCGAGAGTAGTCCAAACATGATTAAAGTTCCCATTGAATGACCAATCCAACCAAGTTTCTCTGGTCATTTATATTGGTCAAGAATTCTGGGTCAGATAAAAGATTAACCTTTGGACATAAATACTACTCACTGTATCCAGTTTTTTTTAAAACGTAATCGATAGATTCTGGAGCATCATAGCTAATCATTTGTTGATAAGAAAATCGCCAATACTTGTTGTCTAATAGACGTTGAAAAGAATTAAAATAGAGAAAGTCTAGTAATCCATTAATCTCTTACCTGTATATGGATTAAGATAAGTGTGATTTCTTGAATATCGAGATCCTCTGAAATTGATCACCCAAACATCGTATGCGAGATTAGCCAATAGGTAGGCCAAGTTTCGTCCGTCGTCATCGAAATTGACCTTGATCCCCTTACGAGTCCAATCGTCAGCAAACCCTCTCGCGGAATTGATCAACCAAGCTGGGGCTCCAAGGAATAGCCCATGAGCTAAAATCAAAGGTTTAATTGTTTTCACTGCGTTTTTAATCAGCACAGGGTTGATTATATGTTGAATCGATATGATATAACCATCGGTAAGAGTTAGAAAATGTTCATCACAAATATAATTCCGAGATTCAATCAGTTCACATGGAGTTCGTTGAGCATCCGGAGATCCACCGGGAATTAAATTGTCACCAATTTGTTCAACATCATCAACAACACCAGAAAGTAATTGTGATTGTAACAATCCATCAATCAATGATATTTCATTACAGCAATTAGGTGATATTAGAATGAACAAAATCAATAATTTTAACCTCATGTTGGACACTAATCAAGTTGATCAACAACAGAATCACCAATGAATTAACTATCATTTTTGGATTAGTATTTAAATCATTTGCTATCAAAAGTTATTGGTACTTTGATTAGATTCATATGATCATATTAATGATGGTTAATAAAATCAGAAAGACAATTAATCGATCGATTAATAATATCATCATTTAATTTGATTCTGTTACTGTTACGAATCATCAATAAGTTAGCAATCAACAATCAATTCATTAATCGTATTTATCTAATTGGTAAATTAATTTTAATTCCATAAGATTACAATTTAATTCAAATTATCAGAATTGAATTATAAGATGATCACAATTCTCAAGATGAAAAATTAATATATTCATCTGAATACTCATTAGATTTTCATTAATATCCAACGATTTAATCAACAATTAAGTAACGAGGTTCAGTTACATTTGATTCCTCGAAATTGATCTCGTTAAATAACCATTTCAGTTTAATTAGCGAGCAATGATTAAATTGTCTCTCAAAGGACAATCACTTTATTATTCACAATTAGATTGCCAACTGAAGTGTAAATCATAATTAATTATTACAACTTAACTAATGGGTATTTACCTTAATCAACTAGAGATGATCAAAAAATCATCATGAAAATCACAATAATCAATATAATAAATAAGGAAATAACCTTCAGGTGTGTATGTGTTGATAACAATCAACAAAATTAACTAATGTTAACCTTTCATGTTAATCATTACCTGTTGATTACGTTCAACCTTGTCAAGTGGATTAACTTTTTTTTTCGGTAATTTGTTAATCCATTTACCTTTTAGATCTGAATGTTGTTTGTTTTTCACTGTCACTCTAATTGTGTCCCAAGCTTGAATGCTAATAACGACCTCAAATAATGTTATTATTTAATCAACTACCGAGTGAACAACAACAAAAAAAATTAACTGACAACAATTAAGATTCTCGGATATTGTTTTTGTCTAACCTTTCAAATTGCTAATTCATTTTACTCTAATTGTAACTTTTGTTTCTGCTATTTTGATTACCGGTAGTCACCAGCAACAACCATAACCTCCTTTCAAGATTTTCACCAACAATCAACAATTTAAACTTGGTGATTTAACTTAATTGTACTTCCGTTAATGAATAACAATATGATTTACATACACACATCAACTCTAATTTATTCACATAGTAAAATTAGCCGATTCCCTTGAAATTGATTTAATCAACTCTCTATACACTTGATTAACCTTTTCAGAGGTAATCATAATTAGTAGACAATCGCAATTAAAGATCAAGGTTGTAATATATTTTCTGTCACAATCAAATCAACCGATTATGATTAAGGAAATTCAAAAAAAAGGAACCATGAAAAATTATAATATCACCAATTTGAAATCTTTCAAATCTGTGTACAAAAAGTTAATTGTGACCTTAAATTGTTACAATCAATTGATTTCCTTCTTTAAGTAAATTTTCATCAAATTTGTGATCAACTAATTTCCACTGATTAAGTTAATCATTACTATTATTGACCTTAACTGGATTAGATTCAAACCAATACCAGAACAATGATTGATCATCAATCTCCACTGATTGTTGTTGTAATCAAATTAAATTGTTATCATCATCTAATTGTAACATTGAGAAAAAAAAATCATAGACAAATTGTTCATTTATATATATATATATTAATCAAGTTAATTTGATGATTTAATAGTAAAGTCAATTTTAATTTTGAATATACAATCATGATTGAGATTAAAAATATTATTTAAAAAGTTTTGATGATAATCAATGAACGATAATCATCACAATTAACTGGACCAACATGATTTACTTAAGCAGAGGTAATTGGTCACCATCATTATCATCATCCGTTGGAGTAAAAATAATAAATCCATTAGTGATTAATATTGATTATTTGGATTAAAAGAAAAGTAGACCAGCAATTAAAAAAAGTTTTTTTTTTCTATCTAAAAAGTGTTATCATAATTATCTTAATTAAGGAAAAGCCTGAAGAGTGGTTTACAAAATATGTACATGATGAATGAGAAAATCAATGATTGAGCTAAATAATAACCAATGTAAATCCTATGGGCACAAGAAGAAAAAGAAATTAATTAGTTTCTTCAAAATGATTAAGAAAATTGTTGTTTACAATTAAGATGGTTGATCTTTATCGAGATTGTCAACCTTGAAAAGTGTATGAATAGAGAGATTGAAAATCGACTGGAGGTTATTCTGGTTCTCCTCAAATTCATTCAGGGTTTTCAGTGATTCTTCATGCGAGACAAGATATAATTTCTTGAGCATTCAAATGTTGTATTAAAAAGATAAACCAACTGACCAGGTCAAGGTGAAAGTGAGGGTGGGCATCGATAAGGTAGGAAGTATGGGAGAGAGAGAGAGAGAAGGTTAAATATTTAAAATGAAAAGGGAAACGTGAGTCTAATTGTATATATCGAATATCGAACAGCTTTAAATGCCCTCAAGGTAAACAGAATCTTGGATAAAGATCAACGAAAAGAGAAAGAAAATTAAGAAAAAGTTACTTTACCATGTCAATCGTTTTTTAGCTTCCGGGATAGTTGAATCTTCCTCTTTAAGAAGATATTTTCTTATTCCAAGATATAAAGTATTTGTGTATGTGCGCCAATTAAGTGGACGAATATTGATATTGAATTTCAGCTTATCCGTTTCCGTTAAATTTTCGTGCACTTTTTGAAAATTTTCACATGGAAAACTCCATTGGCGTCGAGTAAAATAAGTCAACAATCCAAATGCTTGATGCATTTTACCAACCACTCGAACCAATCTAAATTAACAATTAGCATACAATTAGAAAAATAAATCAATCAATACACTCAAATTGTTCTAGACTGTAAGTTGATTAACCTCTAAATAGTAATTGTGATTGGGGTTTGTCACTTTTTTTTTGCAAGTTAAATCAAGAGAAAAGCAAAAGCTATTGGACTCAATCACGAAAAGGAGTAATTAACTGATTAAATCTTACCTTCTTTGTTGGCCAACAATGAACAGAATACAATCAAACAGGTAAGCAAATAGTAATTCGGAAAAATATTTGGTCATTAGATGATCAAATTTGGAAACCCGATTACCCTGCATCACTTTGACCGGAGGTCGTAAAACTTGAAGTGACGGAGCCTCAACAGCGGCCTCACGGCCATAGCTTAAAAACTGTTCCCATGTGACTGGATTAACATCACCAGAGGTTATATTGAAAACTTTCATCTTCTCATCATCCTGATTATTATTATCTTTTGAATTAATTGTAGCCATGTACCAGCCGATATTGATTAAACCATTTACCACGGTATCGGCTGGAATTAAGTCCGAAGTACAATTTGGCTTCAAATACATGGTTCGAGCGATTCCCAATGAACCAAGTAAACAAGCACCACTTGGACCATTAATCGTATCACCCCAACCAGGTAAAGGCTCTTTCCATGTGGCTGTGATGATTGAAGGTCGGGCTATTCCAATGGTCAGTCCAGTTCCATGATTTTTAATATATTGTTCAGCCAAAGCTTTGGTAAAGGTATAAGTGTTTGGACGATCTTCAAGATATTTCGAGTATTTTGCTTCGAATGCCTCATTGTCCATACTTTCACTGGCCTTTAATATCTCATCGACATCGACTTTCATTGGATAAATCACCTCACCGGACAATGATTTCTGACAATAAGCATAAGCAGTGGACACATGAACGAACACTTCGAGATTTTTGATCTCTTTACACAAATCGAGAACCCATTTAGTGGCCTTTACATTAGTGGTCAAACAATCCCTATGATGTGGTCATTTGCATAATAGGTAAAGAGAAAAGAAGAAAAGAAAAATTAAATTTACCTTTAATTAGCTTTACCAATATAATCAACTTGTCAAATAATTTAGCTGAAGGTCAATGTTAACAAGCAATTAAGATTTTGTTTACTCATGGATGTATTAATATATACAATTAACTAAAAAATTGACAATTAACTTTTATGATTGCCAATAATTTAAAATGTGATCATAACAAATTAGCAGATTTTCATAAATTAACTAATTGATTGTTTCTTGTAGATTCTCAATCCATAAATTGTATTCAATTGGTATCTCATTAAAATGACCTTTCGACCTTATGGAAAGTTGATTAACATGATAATCAACGAGAAATTCAACAAATCACTTATATAATTGACAATTAGATGATAAAAGAATCATCAACATGATAAAGTATTGATTATCATGTTAATATTTAATAAGAATAAGTTATAACAATTAACAATTGTAATCTTACTTTAAAGGATCATCGAAACGCACTGAAGCTGCCGAATGGAAAACAATTGAAACTTCATCAGTTATTTTCTTTCGGTCCAAAGGGTCCAGTCCCAAGCCCTCGAGGCTTAGATCACCATCCAAAGCAATTAAAGTCGACGACAATTTATTTGGATCACAAGCTTTGAAAACATTATTTTCTCGGAACTCTTCAAGTCGTTGTTGGACATTTTTACCTCGTTTAGATCGTAATAAAATGTAGATATGTTTAACCTCACAGGATCGAACAAGTTTCTCAACTAGAACCTATGGAAAATTCCAGAGTTATGGTGACAGTTTGAAAGAGAAAGAGAGAGAGAATTGATAAACTGGACATTACTGGACAGTAGGTGATTCTTACCTTTCCAAGGAAACCAGTAGCTCCCGTTACGAAGACTGATTTGTTTCGGTAAAATGAAGTGATTGGTGAGTCGTTATCAATTGATTCCATTGGTAAAGATTACAATTATGATTGAAATAATCGAAAAATACAATTAAGATGATTGACTAAAAGTAGAGAAAGTTAATTAGTTAAAAAACAAACGGAGAGAATAAAAAAAAAACTTAAAATAGAAAATGAAATTGATGAAAAAAAAGGTAAAAAGTTGAGATTCTTGTGTCTTTTTGTAAGTTTCAATGGAAAGTGATGCGGATGAAGTGATGAAGTTGACAAACTGAAACTGTAATTAAGAAAATTAGTTGATTGGTTTGAGGTAAAATTAGTAAATTAACCGGAGAGAGAATTGTAACTCTACAGAACAGAAATTGCAACTAACTGGACTTTAACATTAACCTAATCCAAGTAACGAGAAAAAAAAGGAGTCACTGAGAGAGGAAAGGAAATGGAAAGTGAGAAAATGAGAGAGAGGGAGAGTTTGAGAGAGAGAGAGATAAGATGATAAGAGAAGTGAGTGGAAAATAAGGAGATAAAAGGAGAGATAGAACCGGTAGAGAAAATGAGAGAGAGAGAGGAGAGAAGGAGGTGGATAAGGTGAGATGATGATGAGGTTGTAAGGGCTTTAGAATTGGGGAAATCCCAATGATCCGCAACCGGACCATGGAAAAAACCAATTGCAATGGAAAATAAATTGACCTGATATTGGCCCAGGGGCGATTTAGACATAAACATGATCCAAAAATTCATGAATCTAATTCTGGTGGAAAAGTTTTTGATCATTTTTCTCTTTGTCAAGGTTATAAAATTTAATTTTCTTCACATTTTCTAATCTTACAAAAAAAAGTTTTTCTTTTCTTTCATGATAATCAATAACTTTTACCCTGTAAACAAAAAGATAACCTTGAGATCAAGTTAATCGTAATCTTAATCTTAATCTGACGATTTCATTGCTAATCTCTAATTGCGGTACATTTCCGGACCATTACGATTGGACTTTCATTTAGAGCTAATCAACTGTAATTGTTATCATTTAATTTACTGTTGATGTTACACAGTTTAGTTTACCTTTAATTGTTCAACTGGTGGTTAGTGGAAAACAACAATTTAATCAAATTTTCAATTTAAACGCAATTCGCGACGTTTTTAATTTGCTAAGTGATTAATTTTTCTTTGATTAATCTTATGATATATACGAGAAAAGTTAATATAAATGATTGCATTGAGTTTTAATCACAAAAACATTAATCAAATGGTTGTTTAATTGAGTGTCTTGTTGTTGTCGCTGTTGTTTACATAATTTAGTTAATTTAATTCAGATCGCTAATTGTAACTTCAATTGGTTAGCATTGGGAAATAATTATTAATACAATTTAATTAATGTTTTTTATTTTGCAACTTTTCATTCAACTAAATTAACCTTGTGAATTTTGATCATTGTAACATTGATTAATCAATTATTACTATTAGTTAATTAAAATTTTAACTTTAATTGTTTCATTCAGGTTAGAGTTTATTTTATTTGATAATAAGAAATTTTAATCATTACAGTTAATCGTTGATCTTTCTTGTCAATTTATAAGAGCGATTTTCAAATCAAAGTTAATTGTTCACTAATTCGTTATTTACCTTACTGGTTACAAATCATATTAATTAACGATAACTTATTTAATTACATGTATTTGCTAATCGTAATTTATTGATTTAAAGTATTGACTAAGATTCTAGATAATTAATAATAATCCAATGTAAAGGAAACAGAAACAAAAATTAACCCATTACATGTAAGTGTGATTACAATTAAATATTCATTGTAATATAAATCTAATTAAGAGAAAGTTAATCATTACAATCAGTAGATTATAAGAATTGGCATCAGAATCGATCAGAACTTTCTCTCAAGTTTTTATCGGATTTTTTTCTAGCATTTAGAACTGCGAAAGAGGAAAAAGTTCAAAAAGATTTCGAGTTGAAAACTTCGAATTTTTAATTGTTAGTTTTTAGGGAATTGGACATTAGATTCATTTCTTTTCTAATTAATTCACCAACTATCAAGATTAACGATTGAAATGAATTCATTCATTGAACCATAGGGTTGATATCTGAGCCAAATAATGATCGGATATTCATGAATATCCAAGACCCAAAGAGTTAAAACAAAGATTAGTATTTATATTGCTCTTTGAATCTAAAAGAAATAATCAATAATCTTTGGATTTCCGTTGCCCCAGGCGATTGTTTTGCTCTATTGGGTGTCAATGGTACAGGGAAAAGGTTGACAGTAGAAATAAAGTTTCTTAATGATTTACAATTAATATTCAAGAACATTTATTCACACCTCCTTGAGGTTCATGCTTTATACATTGATCACCGGACTGAGTCCGATGGCCTTGCGGCACTGAGCTAATCGCCCAGGTTACAAATTTTTTGTTCAAGTATTAATACAATGTCGATGAAAATTTTGTCTTTGATTATTTTTTTCGTTATTAGCAAGATTTAGATCAGAAAGTAATAAATTCTCTTGTCTATAAATTGGAGGGTTTAAATACGAAGGTTTAAATATAAGCTTTGAATTTGAGGTTTGAATATAAAGTTTTAATAGATTGTTAGTTTGATTATCCAAAGATCTAATTTGATGATTGTAAATAAGTACCAAAGGTTGAGGTTGAAGTGAGGATAAGGTCCAAAAATAGTTTAACTCGTTAGGTTTGTCATGAAGAAAAGGAGAAAATATAATTAGAATTTCAATTTATTCAAAGAATAGGAATCAGTCATGTTTGTAGCTCAAAAGATGGCAGTAGCTGCTAATCCAATTGTTTCGAATGCAATTAAACAATTAAATTCGAGTAAATTAATCAATAAATTGAGATGGATCACTGAAACAATGTGTTGATTGATTTTATTTGATTGGTTTGATACACGAGTTGAATTACATATGAATGTAAATCACCTTAACTTGTTGAGTGACAAAACAATTAAAACGATTGGTGTTGATTATGATTATGATTGTCACCAATTGATTTATTTTTGTCAGAAAAGTCAATTCTGCCTCATGATAACCACCAAGTCCAATAACCACCATGATAAATTGGTGCTGCTTTTGGATCACTAGGTTTATTTACTGGTTTAATTGCGATTTGTCGTAATTCATTTATACGATTTATCATTTGATTGACAATTAGTTTATTGTTTGATGCAATATTGTTATATTCACATGGATCTTGAACAATATTAAACAAACAAGGTTCTCTCAAAGGTTGACAATTATTTCTCGTTTGATTGTTGCAACTGATTCTCAGTAAATTAAATGGTCTTTCAATTGATCTTTCATCTAGTTCGTATAAAGATTGATTCAAGGTTAACCATGACGACGATGTTGATGGTAACTTTAATGACGATGATTTATAATTAACTAACTGATGATTATTCTTACCGATATGATTGGTGAAATTTCGAACCACCCAATCATCAAATTTCCCATCTAAAACTGAACCTGAGACGATCTTATAATCACCAATTCTGATTGAGAAAACTTTCCAAATATCATCAATATTATGTAACAATTCATTTCGAAGTGAATAATAATTCATTTTCGTCTCATTATTTGCTGATTGTTTATTGTAATTACCTTCCAATTCATACCTTAAATTGATACCATAGAGATTTCCAGGTAAATTTGATGAATTTCCACCAGCGAATGAGTAAATTGTTGGTAACCAATCACTTATATGAGATAATCCTGAATAAATTGTTCCCTTTGATTTCAACCAATTAGCCCAAACCCAAGATAATCCTTTAATCCCACCTTCCCAAAGGGTATATTTAGATCCTCGAAGTGGTTGATTAGATCCAACACCTAAATTAGTGTGTTTATCATTAAGGGTGCCCGTTGGTGCACCATTGTCGGAGGTGAAAATGATTAGTGTTGAATTTGATTGACCATAACGATGAAGAGAATTGAAAATTTTACCAATTGAATCATCGAGTGAGGATAAGAGGGCAACGTAAGATCTTAAATTGATATCATTTATGTAAGAATAACGATTAAAATAATCGACGGGAACTTGGTACAGTTTTGGTGAATTCCCGATGTGAACTGCTTGATATGAGATCTCAATGAACCAAGGGTCATTGGAATTAGAATATGATTCGATTAATTTGATTGCTTGTGAGGTGAAAATTTCAGTTGAATGTTGACCAATGAATTGATCTGCAGCTCGAGTCTCATTTTGGTACCAATCGAGTCCCCATTTTGAATTTGATCGGGTAATCCTATCATAATAATCGGTTGCCCCTGAGAGGAAGCCGATATATGAATCGAAACCTCGTTCAATTGGAATCATTTTCTTTGAGCAAAACCCTTGATGCCATTTACCGATCAGATGAGTTGAATAATTTAACGATTTCAAATATTGTGGTAAAATCTGAAACTGTTCAGATAATCCCCATGGCTCATCGCCGGCGATTACACTATGTTGCATTCCCGTTTGAATTGGATGGTAGCCCGAAAGTAATGATGACCTTGACGGTGAACAGATCGGCTGAACATAATAATTGGACAATTTAACCCCTTCCTTTGCGAGTGTATCAATATTTGGTGTTGATATAAAATCATTACCAGTGTAACTTAAATCATCCCAACCCAAATCATCAACAATTATCAGTAAAATATTGGGCCTTTCATGGTTACAAATTGATTGAAAAAGTGAGGAAACAATCAAAGTGCAAACAATTAACTTAATCGGAAACAATTTACTTACCAAAAGTAACATAACAATTACTGAACAATTAAAACTAATTGACTATAAACCCTCAGGTAATTTTTGTACATCATCAATGTGACAACATTTAGATAATTGATTGTTGCTAAGTAACAATTAAATCTCACCAATTTGAATTGTTTCAACAGGATGAGAAGAAGAAAAAAATAAATCAAAAATCAAAGCCAAAAGTATCATAATCACAATTAACTTTTTCATTAATTGTGACAACCAAACAATTAACCTGAAAAAACATGAGAAAAATTCAATTGGTCAACAGAAAACCAATGAAAAAGTTTTTCATACTCAACCATCAAGACTCATGCATTTCATATATACAAATAACATCAATGAGATTAATTAATTGCTGATTTTCATAATTTAATTACAATTAAGAAACAAAAAAAACGAGTTTGGACTCAGTCCCGAATTCGAGTCCAACGTATCCGATACTTGGACTTTTCTTTTTTTTTGTTTCGCCAAGAAAGTCAAATGAACAGGTTACCTGTTACAGGTAAGACTAGTTGTTGATGTGTTTCTATTGAATAGTTCAATGTTTTTATGATCAAAAATCATCACTGTCATCATCATTTCCATCATCTCCCCACTATCATCATCATTACCGTCACTTAGTTATTTTTTTATTCCATTTTAATATCTCTCCATTTCTCCCTCTCTCTTCATTACCTGATAGGTTTTACATAGAGAGAGTTGATTTTTCTATTTTGTGTTTTATTTAATTTCTTTTTTATTTCTTTTTGTTCTTATCCTTAATATCCTTCTTATTGTTGTTCACCTTTCTCTGTTCTTCATATTAATCCTCCTTTTCTTAGGAAAAGAAGAGAATTTTCAAATTCCATGTAAAAATGAAATGGACAACGCTCTCTTCTTTGGTGTTGTTAATTCCAGTGCTTTTAGTTTTAGTTGTTTTAAAAGGTAAATTGATTTTTTCTTTCTTTCTATGGAATCATTTTCGCTCCAATACAAGTTCTTTTGGAACAATTCGTTTCAACTGTTGTCTTTGTTTCTTTGTTTCTTTGTTTCCTCTTTGTTAATTTCTTTGGTTCGTTTGTGTTTCTTTCTATTTTTAATTTTCTCTCTTATTCTTTTTTCCTTTTAGAAGCCACATTCAACCAACGCTCAGATAATGATGAAGTTGGCGTTTACTTGGCCAACAAAAAAACAATCGATGATTTAGCTAATTTAATTGATCCTTCTCAATCTTGTAAATGTGACTGTGATAAAGAAACTGCTTCCATGGTTGAAGCTGCAGCGGCTGCTGCTGGTGTGGACTCGCCATTTTCTCGTACCAACATAATAACCACTCTTCCTCCAGGGGAAGATGTTCCTTCTGAAACAGAGGCTGCAACCTCTAGTTCAACTAAATATGATGAAGTCAAACTTATTCCAACCATTTATGTGATAACCCCAACTTATACTAGACCCACTCAGATGGCCGATATGACCCGTCTCGCTCAAACCTTAATGTTGGTTAAAAATGTTTTCTGGATCGTTGCAGAAGATTCTCATTTACTTAATCCACAAGTCGCTGATCTGCTTAATAGAACCAATATTCCATACATTCAATTACTCGGACCTCGACCTAAAACTCATCTAGATAAACGAAGTGGTCGAGGTGTTTCAAATCGTCTTGTAGCCCTTGACTGGTTACGGACAACTTTCGCCAATGATACAAATACACCGGGTGTAATTTACTTTGCCGATGATGATAACGCTTATGATATACAAGTTTTCGAGGAGATGAGAGATACCAAAAAAGTATCCGTTTGGCCTGTTGGTCTTATTGCCAAGATTGGATTATCAACACCAATTTTAGATTTAAAAACAAACAAAGTAATAGGTTTTCATGATCCCTTTATGGGCCGTCGAAAGTTTGCCGTTGATATGGCCGGATTTGCCGTTAATTTATCGCTATTCCTCTCAAAGCCCAAAGCCATCATGCCTTATAAAGTTGGTTATGAGGAAGACTATTTCATCCGGAGTCTTGGGGTTACAATTGATGATTTAGAGCCGAAGGCCAATAACTGTACACAGGTACGTAATCACAACAACAACAACAACAATTAACCCTTATTATTATTATAGTTAAATCATGATTTCAATTTAGTTAGTAAAGAGAAAAAATTTTCCCCATATACCTGTTTAGCCCTTTCCTATCTAAACCATTGAAATTTAAGTGATGTCAATTAGTTGGAATAATGAAATAACCATTAGTGGGTTAATAATCATCATGAGCTACAATCAGTGTAATAATTTAATAATCATTATCATCTTAATGATATCCTCTAGTTTTGTTTTTCTTTATTACACCGATAAAGATCAACTTTTTGTATCAAATTGTGATGGCACTTTTCAGTTGACCATTCAATCAAAAATTGAAGGTAATATTAATGATGATGATGATGATGTTAATTATTCTTATTATTATTAACAACTAGTGAGAAATATACAATTTACTAGTTTTCCATCAGACAACAAGAGAAAAGGAAAGAAGAAAAAAAGTTTACCTGAGTTGTCTGACCAGTTCATCAAACTGATTCTTCTTCTTCTTCTTCCTTGGCCTCCGGCATTTAACTTACCTTTTTCTTCATCTTATTTTTCTGTTGTTTCTAAATTAGGCGTTTACTCCGTTGAACCCATGAACAGGTTGATAATAGTTTTTCAAGCTTCTCTTTCCTGGTTCTATGTTCTAATTGGCTTCTTATTTGAAAATATAAGAACAAGAAAACAAGAAAGAAATTTAAATTCACCAATCATGTAAACAATCAAATTCTGATCACTTTTCTTTCCTTATTATTAACATTGTTTACAATTTTCTAATCACAATTTATCTCATCAAACTTTTCATGGAACAGATTAATATTCAATCGATTCATTCTCATCTTCTTTACCTCCTTCTCTCTCCCTCTCAAATACACACACAAATAGTAGTATTTACCTTTAATCATCTTCTCTTGAATAGTTTTCCATTTGTTCATTGACAAATTAATGTAAACTTATTCATCCTCAAGGAGATCCACTTGATCATATGACCAACTATCTTCTTAAACTTTTTTTCTTCTTCTAAATTCATAGTAAATTAGTGAATAACTTTAATCACATCATGATGGTTATTATAATGATGATTGTTGAGAATATAACAATACTTATTAATGGTCTCTCTCTCTCTATCTTCATCCTTGATGATTTTTTTCTGTTATTCTTTTACAGATTTTGGTTTGGCATTCAAAAACACAGCCAGGAAAAGATCCTGATTTCATCAATCTGAAAAAAGAGATTTCCAACTCAAGCAATCTAGTTCAATTGTATAACAATGTCCTTCGACAATGACAAAATTTACGCAAGGGAGATGTACTTTTTTATGTATTGGTGCCAATTATTATTTATTTTCAAGTGTCCTTGAACAAATAAACAAAGAAGGAAAATCTAACATTAATTATGATGAAGAAATTGATTTAATTACCCACCTTAGGATAACAGAATTATTTTCTTATTCTCATATTTATCGTGCTAATTTATCTTGTTAATTACAAGCAAACATTAATTTTCCTCCATTTAGTTATTTCCAATATCAATTTTACAAATTGTGGATAAAGACACCAATCAATTGTTCACCATTATCAATACACACACACACACAATGGAAACGCTTCACCTTGGATTGGGTCAACATGAATTGATGATAATCATAAATGAATTCATTGAATTGGCGTCGAAACAGCAAATGATTACCTGAAATTATCATCAACTTTTCAACGATTAAAACAATACCTTAATCATTTCCCTCCTCTTTTCTCATCCTTTCTACAATTTAATAGAAAAATTGTTTTCTTTTTCCTTCATCATCATCATCATCTTTTCATCGCCGATAACAATTATTTGATAATCGTATCCTTGATCTAATACCAAACACCAAGCACGACTGAGGCCATTCACGAAAACCCACCGCGCGTCCATTTAAATCACTTGGTGTCTCAACCATTTCAAAAGTTATCCTTTTTCATCATTTGTTCATCACTCCCATTGTGTGGCATCATCACCATGAAAATCTGATTCAACTTATTCATGGAAATCCTATTGAACCAGAATCAAATTTCTTGGACAATCAAACAATTAGATATGGGACAGAATTTAAATTGGATTATTTTTACATTACCTTCACTTTTACATCATCCAATTACCTTAAACAATAATAACAATTTAATAGTATTAATGTTTTGTTACAATTGCAATTGAACTAATCGTAAATTGTTTCGTCACACAAACAACAATTTACTACTTTGCCGATAAGTTAATTGCTCTAATTTTTTTTCACAATTTCTTTTGTTTTTAAACCAATTAATTCATTTTTTTTAATGCTCTTCTTGTCATCTTTTTTTTTGGGTTTTTAGGATTTCCTTTCAGATTTTAATTATTGTTTATTTATCCATCATTATTAGAAAGGAAATGAGTGAAACAATTAGTTGATTGGTAAATTGTTTTCCAAGTTAATTATCACCTTTTAAACATGAAAATCCTGTCAAACTTGTCTAATCATTTTTTTATTTGTCTCTTTTGTTAATTTCAGGTAATTTATGGATTAACAATTGAATCCACTTACAATATGATTACCAGAGTTAATTGTGACCTTGCTTCCTGATTATTTACATTAATTAACCACAATTATCAATAGATATTGGTAAAAGTTTACAATCAATAGGATTGTCCTTTTGTCCGATATTTTTCACACTTTTGATTGTTTAAATTGTCTCGTTGGTATTATATTAATTGTCAATGAAAAGCTTTTCCACTCGAAATTATTTAGGATTAATCAACTTTTCCATTAAATCAACAATTGAATCATCGTGATTATCACCACAATTAGATGTTTAAATTTTCATGGACAAATGATATCATTTATTTTGTAAAAACTTAATTTTTTGTTCAACAATCAAGTTTAATATTTAATCAGCTTGTGATTTAACCTTCATCAATTGAAGGTATCATACTAATTAAATTGTTATAGCAACAATTTAAGTAATTGTAATCATAATTATATTGTTTTTGTTTTCACAATCAATTAATATTTCAATAATTGTTTGGTTATCGATTTAGTTACGATTTTTGTTGAATCTCAATTCAATTAACTGATTGATTAATTTCTCATCAAATTTCCATGATTATAACAATCAATTCTAATTGTAATTAGTATATTCTAATTTTCTTTCTATTTTTCCATTAGTAATTAACGATTACAATTAACTGATTCAAATGAAGGTTTGCCGTTCTAACGCCCATTTGTATTATAATTAAATTTAATCAACATGAGCTGTTATGTAACAATCAACGTGATCTAAATTGTTGATCTGATTTTGTTTTTGGTTAATCAAAGTTAATCGGATTTAAACCAAAATCATATCTTCAAATTGATTATGATTCAAATTGATTGGCATAAAATCTTGATACCTGTTTCTATTAACCATAATTCAAATTGTCCAAGTAAAATATAAATTGTAGATCTTAAAAGATTAACCAAACCAATTAACTGATTAAATTGATTACCGGTTTTTAAACTTGTAAAAGAAATGACAATTTATAAATTATCACTTTCCATCTTTGGGATAAATATGACACAAGATAATTCAGTTGAATGATCACTTTCACATTTAATACAACCACTAACACTAATATGGTTAAAACTTGAAAAGTTAATCAAAAACAATCAACACCAATCATAAATAGTAAATCAATACAATTAATTTAGTTTAAATTGTCAACCAAATCTTTAGACTTTGACATTTGTCAGAAATTTTGAAATCACAGAGAAGCAAAAAAATTGGCTTGAAATCACAATTTTCCCCAGAAATTAACAATTAAGGGATAAGATTAACAATCAGTTCGCTCAATTAAATCAATCAACTTCAACTTTTCTAATTATAAATTAATTTAATTCACAATTTGGTAAACAAAAGATTTTGAATTCCAATTCAAACCGGGAAAGCGTTTCCATGGTAACTTTCAATTTAGAAAAAAAAATTATCCGTTTTTTTGTTTCTCTTTTTTTTGTTTGTCAATTTGATCTTTTTTTTTAATTGTGATTTTGATTAATCATTTTTTTCTTGATTATCTTTTATTTTTGTTAATCAACCTCTTTCTCTCTCTCTCTCTCTCTCCCTCTGTTTGTTTTATCTCTTCAACTGTTTACCTGTTGCTTTGGTTGTTCGGAAAGGCGAGTATTAAGTAGTCATGATGAGCGATATACTTGATAACAATGGACCGGCTCCTAAACAATTACGATTGTCACCTAAATCGTCTGGTGGTGAGACAAAGGGTGTTTATAAAACAGAGGAGCAAAGTAATGCTCTAGATTTAACTTCATCTCATTCGGTTAGTTCAACTATCCATGGTAAGGGTGAGATTAATCTGTCAATGATTAAATTTATAAGAATTTTAGATGAAGTTGCTGATACCAAGATGATTCACATTGAAGGTGAATATGGTGGAGATAAGGTTGTCCTAACCCTTGAGAAGACACCATTTCATAAAGACACCGTTGAGAAAATATTATCTTCCACCGATAAATCATTGAAAAAAGATTTCACCAATGATATTTACGGTACTTACAGGGCTTATCCACAAGCCGAACTCAATGGTATCAGAGTTACCATTATCCATCCAGCTACTGATCTTCACATTTCCAAATACTCTGCTCAAAGTTTCTTCATGATCCAAGAAACACCCGAGGATTACAAGAATATCACCTTACCCTACATTGAATCTCAGTCTTTCTCCTTGGATTGGGTTTACAATGTTTTGGACCATTCAAGTGAAGCGGAGAGAATCATTTTCGAGGACAATGATGAAGAGAAAGGTTTCATCTTAGCTCCCGACTCCAAATGGGCTGACCAACAAGATGGAACTTCTAACATGCATTGTTTGGCCATTGTCACCAAGAAGGGAATCAAATCACTGAGAGATTTAACCTCGGCCCATTTAACTTTGCTCACCAACATCAGGGACAAGGGAAGTCAAGCCATGAATGAGAGATATGGAATCAAGGGGAATCAGCTTCGTATTTATATCCATTATCAACCTTCATTCTATCATTTTCATGTACACTTTGAACCACTTTCATATCGAAGCTCATCCATTGAAAGATGCCACCTAATTGATCATGTCATTGACAATTTAACTCTAATTGGTGATTACTATCAAAAGGCAACCCTTACTTTTCCCGTTAAAGAAAACAGTGGCCTCCACCTAAAGTACCAAGAGCTCAAGTCATTGGCTTGACAATAATATTTTTTCATAATCAACTAAACAATTGATCATCACTTACAACATCTTTCATCATCAACATTATCATCAACTTCTTCTTCTTTTCTTTTCCTTCAAACCACAAACGCCTAAAGCAACGCATTCAAACTCATTGATCAAACCAATTTATTAATGATACAAATCTTTACACTTAAATGGGTTGACTATAATTTGCCTAGAGCTTTTCATCATGTATGGAAAGCGGAAAAATTAACTAGAGAACAGTTTTAAACTATACAAACAGTGTATCAACTCATCAATCTCTGAACCTGCCTGATTATTTTAATTTAATTAGCAAACCACAAGCTCCAAACAATCCTGATGAATATCATCACAACCCTAAAGAAGAAAAGAAGAAAATTTTCCAGCTAATTTTATATCAATTCTTCCGGATCAACTTAATTATTTTTCTTCTTTTATTCTCTCATGTGATTAACTTAACATATATTCACTTCAATTATATACATAAAAACCGTAATGGAACATGGAATTTCAATTAGAAAAGAAGTGAAATTCAATTCTTTCCCTCGATGGAAGCAAAACAAGAAAGGATCATCATCTTGAGAAAAGAAGAAGAAAAAAATGAAGATGAAAACGAACAAAATTTTCTCAACAATCAAGTTTTCCACCGCAAAAATCAGACACTCTTTTCCCAAGATACTCTCTCCATCTCATGGAAACCCCATTTTGTTTTTCACTTTGATAATCATTTCAATCTATTGATTTAAGACAATCTGATAATCTCTTCAATAACAAGGCTAATACACAGACAACCACACACATTGACAGAGAGAGAGAGTGACACACAACAACAATTAAATTGTCCACAAATGATGATGATGGTCATGAAGATTAGTAAATACATTGAAAGAGTCCATCAAAGATAATCATTTGATATCTTCACAAGCCAAGGGAAGGAAAAGTTTCCAAGGTATTTCCACCCGCCTCAACCGTCTTGAAGGGTGGTAAGGGAATGTGATCTCTTCAAATCAATTAGCCCCAATTAATTAATTTACAAAGGCAACAAATCAGAGGGAAAGGCCTCCCATTGGAAATGATTAGTTGGCTCTCTATGCTGCTTTTTCACAAAGACAACAAATCCTGATAAGACAATAATGAATATCTTTTCCTAATCCACTCATATATATATATTTATATATATAATATAAAGAAAAAAAGTTAAATCCAATTAAATTGTCACTAATTATTGATTAATTGGTAATCATGATAAGTAATACGATCAATAGGCAACAACAATAATAATAAGCTCAATCTAATAAACAGTTAATGTTTGTTTTTTTCATCTTTAAATATCAACAATTAGCCGGAGAAAAGATAATTTAAATTTATATATAATTTAGTATAAATTTGTTAATTGTTACCCTTAAATTTAGTTTAAATTTATTAATAGTTACAGTCTAATTATCAATAACCTTTTATGTTTTCTGATAATCAGCTGTTACTATTTAACTATCAATCCAATTTGGTTAATTAAATGATGATAAGTTATTAATGATAAATAAACATCATTCGATAATCAGTTAATTTATTATAATGATTAAGGTAGAAACAAATTGTTGCTCTTAATCATTATTCCTTCAGGTAGTCTCATGAAAAGTACATGAACCTTACCAATAATATAAGGATGATGATGATTTAAGTTAATGATTGTGATGGAAAGATGAAGTTAATCAGAATCATTTTCAACATGATGATTAAACAGGTTCTACAAGCTGATGATTAGGAAAACTAGAAGTTGATTAAAGTGATTAAATTAAAAGTTAGAAAGAGAGAGAAAAAAAAATGAAAATTCTAACTTGGAAATTCATTTATCTGAATCCACGAAGAGTCAGAGTGTTTCGATATTAATCAGATTCTCTCTCTCTCTCTAATTACACAATAATATTATTGCTGTCAAACGATTTGATTACTGGTTAGTGATTACAAGTGAATTAAATCATGATATCAGAAAGAACTGAACATGAGAGACACATGAACCTTTTCCTTTGTGAATCATGAGAAAAAAGAGAATATCAATTAACCTTAATTTCTCCTTTGAACCTACGAATTTTTTTGTTATTCTTTTTCGTTGGAACTTGTAAATTACCACCAACTCGAAATGAACATGATAAGAGGGAGAAAAAGGTTGGCTGACAATTTATTTAGTTCTCTCTCTCTTTCTCCTCCTTGTGATTGACTTAATTGTGGAGGTGAAAGTGAATTTAAATGGATCAAGTTCATCTCCTCATCTTTTCAATTCGTTTGATATTTAACTTTCTAAAAATCTATTGCGTATTTTAAATGATTAGTTTACAAATTTACTCTAAACTTGTTTTCCTCCTTTTTTATATATCTTATCATCCTCTAGACACTCACTCGCACACACACATGTACACACATAGAGATGTACACACACACACTCTGACTTCCTCTCCCTCCCCACCCTCTCATCAGTAGGAGGATTGGAAAGGTTTTTTTTACGTCACATGATTTGTGAGACTAAAAAGCAGAGAGAGAAAAACGTAACTATCAAAGTTTCCAATTCGAAAGGCAGATGTCACTAGTTGAATGAAAGTGAAAAAAGAAAGAGAAAAAAATTCGACTCTTCGAAAGTCTTTCTTTTTTCTCTTTCTTACAAGTGGCTCCATCTTTTCGTTGGTGTTGAAAATGTTTAATCAACATGATCGGTTTTCTCGTTGATTAAAGTTAATTTTGCTTTTCTGCTCCTGTCGAGTTGAATCTAAATTGTTGATTACTATTTAAGCGCAGGCTTAAACCAAATTATTATTAACGAATATGATTTTTGTTGTATGAATATCGTTTTATCAGAGAGACAGAGAGTAAATTGGTGTTTGTGTCGCTGTTGATTATTTTTGGATCCAATGTTCAATAATTCAATGAATATGCTCATCATCTCATCCGACTGAAATATCACAAAGTCAACAATCATCCTCCTTTTTTCATCTCTCTCTCACTTCGTCTTCATCCTCTCTCTCTCTCTTCTCTCACTTCTCCATGACATATTCTAGGTTAACCAACTAACTGAAGTATACAATCAATTTAACCTTGATTAACTCCATCGGTGTTTATTTCTCTCTCTCTCTCTCTTTTGCTGTTTCTCTCTTTTTTATCATCTCCTCTCTCTCTCTTATTTTATCATCTTGTTGATCACTCACTCTCTCACTCTCTCCCTTTGTCTTTTCCAATCATTTTGTCCCCTTCTCTGTATACTACTTACAACAAACAAGTAGCATCAAAGTGCTTTTGGTGACCCATGTTTTGGATTTTTGTAAACAGTTATTAGACTAATTAATGATAATTATTTTCCTTTGTTTTTAATTGTTCATTATGAGTGTGTGCTTAAATTTCAACGTCCAGGAGGATTTTTTGATGCTTTCCGATCACCATCATCTTCTTCATCAGACTCTTCATCATCACAATAACAATCACAATACAAGTTCAGACGATGATGATGATGATTTGTACGCTGGTGGAAAAACAGTTAGAGCTCCGTTCATCCGATCTACTTCATTGAAAACGGGAAAAACGCCACCAAATACACCGGGACGAAGTAAGAAAGCTGTCCGATTTGCTGATTCTTTGGGTCTTGAATTTGAATGTGTTAAATTAATTAGTCAAGATGAATTACCAACGGTTCCTCGATCAGCATACCAAGATTTAAAATTGAAAGATTTCACCAAAAGTAAACAATTTAACAATTTTGGAAAACAATTTAGCAATATTAATTTCGCCAACAACAATCACACTATCAACACCAATATCATCAACAACAATAATAATCATCAAAATTACCAACGATCATCATTAACTTTCACCAATACCACCAATAACAATGCCATCAACACCTCTACAACCCCACAACCAACAACAACAACAACAACAACAACCATCACATGAACATAAACACCATCACCACCTCCCTCGCCAATACTGCCATCACAAGTAAACCCAAACCCCAGCGGAAAATATCACCCGCTTGGCCCACAGCGTATAACCCAAATTGTCCCAATACTCTGGTTCCTGAGTTTCTTCAACCCATCGCATCAACTAATTTCTGTGATCGAGTTCGTACTCAACATGTTTGCCTGGAAAATTGTATCGTCTCTTCAGGTGCGGGTAACATTTCGGTGACCTGTGTAATTCGAGTTCTCAATATTGCTTTCGAAAAGTCAGTTACCGTTCGTCACACATTAACCGAATGGCAAACAGCATCCGATTCATTGGCTTCCTATTTACCAAATTCGTGTGATGGTTGGAGTGATAAATTTGTGGCCACTTTCAGTATTCGCTCAGTATCAGCCGGTGGTACGTTGGCCCCAGGGCAACGAGTATCTTTTGCCATTCGATACACAGTCGGAGACGATGAATATTGGGATAATAACAATGGGCTTAATTACTCACTTTATTCATCAACAATTTAGATAATATCAATTTCCCTCTCTCTCTCTCCAACCACCTCGCCCTGTTAATCTCCACATCCGCATCCTCCCCCTCTCTCTCTCTCACTCTCTCTAGGTGCCATTTTAATTGTTAATCCAAAAATTAATAACAAATTGTCTGAAAAAGTAAGAGATTGTTAAATATCATATAATTACAATAGCGAACTCATCAACATCACTCACTCTCTCTCTCTCTCCTCTCTCCTTTTTAGCTCATCGATTTTAATTGTAAATCCTATTTACCCCCTTTAACAAATTTAGATGATAAAATTATAGCAAATTATCAACAATTAATAATCAATAATAATAATGAAATAATTAACGAATAACATTTGCAAAGATTAATCATCATCCCAAGAAAATTGCCTTCGAAAGTTTCGATTGCTATTGATAATTTTACCTTCGTTCACTTTTACTCTCAATCAATTTTATTTTTTCTTCTTTTGTTATTAATTATTATTGTTCTTATTAATTGTTCGCTAATTGTAATTTACTAAGATGATGATGATGATTTGCATTTATAATTTCATCATTTGCCACTCAATTGAAATTCTCTCTCTCTCTCTCTCTATTTCTTTCTCTCTTTCTCTCTCTCTCTCTTTCCATTAATTGAAACTAATCAACTACAATTTACTAATTATAATAATGTTTGGGTTTGCAAGGTAAACTTTTTGATTGGTTTCAAGAAGAAAAATCAAATTAATAATCATTGTAATGAGAAAACAAGGAAATCGATTGATTTTCATCAATATTTTAAAACTAATTTAGAGCTTTAAAGAAAACATCCTACAAATTGAATTAATTACTAAATGAAAAAGGTTAATTGTTGTAAAGCTTTAATTGTGTAGAAATGTGTATTGTTATAAATATATCACAAACTCTGTAATCAATCAACATACAAATCATTGTAATTTTGTTTCTCCTCTCAAACAAATCACAATAATCTTTAATCATCACTATTTATCAATTGTTAATCAAATAAAGATAATTATTTCTTCATCTTAATTACATTATCATCTCAAGTATCTAATTGTGTGTGTGTCAATTTCTTAATTGTCGAGTTAATTGTTATCTCTACTCTTCCCTTTGTACCTTTACCTTGAACGTGATATTGACCCTTTTTTTTTGAATTAATTGTTTATTTTAAAACATTTGAATGACTTGTTGTTGATTCAGTTTGGGTTAATTACTATTAGAATGTAATTTTATCAATCTAATAGTAAAGGTTAACAATTAACCATCAACTGCCAACTATTTTTGAAAGATGGTAACTTGTTGCTCTGTTGGAAGTTAATTGTAATATTTATATGTTAATTGCGATTCTTGGATTATAATCAAGAAAAATTATCTCAATTTTTGTTTCTTCCGAAATTCATTTACAAGGCAAAACTATTCATCATCTTGAGCAAAAGTTTTTCATGAACAAAAACTAATAGGAAACGCACTTGGAATCCAATGTGTGTAAAAATAGTAATTGTGATTAAGCTCAATGTTGATGATTATCAACATTAATTAAAGAGAAGAACAAAATTTTAATCAATGACAATGATAAGTGATTAACTCTCAAGAATAACATTAATCTTACCCTTCTCTTAATCTCTTTGTTTTGTTTTTCTGTCTGCACGCGGTAAATGTTTACAACGCGTTCGTGTACAACGTGCACATCATGTGACAACGTGCCAACGACGTGCACAGGGTGCGGAGAGTGAGAGAGAGAGAGAGTTACACCCAAAAAGATTAAGCTAATGATTAATCAGCATTTCTATTAATTGTTGTTTGTCTGGTGAGTGAGTGATTGTTGTGGTTTTTTTTGATCGTGATAATTTTAGACTTGATTAGTTATAATTGTTTTCCTTTTTTTGCTTCTTCTTACGATTAATTTTGTTACGATTATTTATCTTTTTCAATTAGTATTTTAATAATTTATCTAATTTACTTCAAGTGTAAAGGTAAATTACTAGTTTTTGTTGATTATTTTAAAAGCTTGTTGGATACACACATAGAAACAATATTATCATTGACACACAATGTCAGTGATAATTTTTAATTGGAAAACAATGTAACCTCACAAATTGATTTCTAACATTAATTAATCATTAAATTGACATGATAATATGTCGATAATTTCTGGAAATGATTGTTTCAACCACTGTTGCCATTGTGGTGTAATTATATAACACAATTAATGAACACAAATATAAATATATTGACAGAGAGTGAGAGAGATAATCAGATGATTGAGTAGAGATTTTTTCTCTCTCTCTAATTCTCAAGATCTTTTCATTATGATGATCAATTGGTGATAATCATAATGGAAGCTAATTATAGTTGATTTAGTTAATCTTTAAGCAATCAAAGTGTTGTTATGATGATCATTTATCTACAAAGTTGTTGTCTTAATTTGTCTGTAAGGGGAAAATATTAACTAACCTTGTGAGAAAATGACAACAGAGAAAAAGAAATGATTTAATCCACTGATATTCAATTGAAGAGAGAAATCACCGATACAACTAATGGTTAATTGAATGAATTTAAAACATAATTGTAAAAGAAAATAGAAAAAATGAAATCATCGTGAGTAATTTAAATTAATTAAAAAGTAAAAGAAGCAAAAAAAAAATAAAAACAAACCTGAGGTTCGGTTGTCATGGTAACAGGAAAGGGAAACAATTTTTTTTTCTTATTCTTATTTGTTGTTGTTGTTACTAACTAACATTAAATTATATCAGCGGATTATCACAAATCACAATTTGACAGATTAATTTAACGCTCATTTATTAATTGTTTCTATTTGATTAACTATGTCTGTTTACAACAATTACCTTCATTTGGTTATCTTGGTAACGTCTATTGTTTATTGTGAGTAGAATTTTTTTCTTTATCTTTTCTTGTCATTTTCTTTCATTTTTTTTTCTTACCTTCTTCTTATTAAAATCCACTCTTATTAACTGATTAATATTTTTTTTCTCTTATACTTGTTATTATTTCTAATTGCAGGTCAATCACTTGATTGTTATATATGTTCAAGTGACAATGATACAGATTGTAGTGAAATATTTGATAAAGAACACGCTAAGTTACAACCAGTATCATGTGATATCTATGGAGCAGAATATTGTATCAAAACAACTGGAATTTACGAAGGTAAATTTTTCCTCTGGTTTAATTGTATTTGCATTTTGTTGATTGTTGATTCATTTTCTTGATGATAATGTACTTATCTCTCTCTCTCTCTCTCTCTCTCTCTCTCTCTCTCTCTCTCTCTCTCTCTCTCTCTGTTTCTCTCCATCACTTGCTGTCTCTTCCAGGTTCCATTGGTGTAAAAAGGTTTTGCTCTTCACGTAAATTTGAGGATTATTGTGATTATATTAAAAGAAAAGGAGATAATAAACCTCAACGAAGTTGTGTCTATTCCTGTAGTTCTGATGGTTGTAATCGAGGTGATAACTTGTCTAAACTCAATTCACATTTAACTTTTATCTCATTAATCCTATTCTGTTATAACCTGTTGCTGATAAAATGACATTTTCTTCAGGTTAATGTTGATCATCTTGCTGTTGATTGGTTATCATTTTCAAATTTCTTCGTTAAAATCTAATCTTAAACCTAAAGAGAGAGAGAGAAAAATAATCTGACAATTAATTCCAGTGCCATTATTTATGTAACGTGTTTTTACAATTCGTTTACAAGCAAAATCTTTGTTGTTTATTATCTCTCTCTCTCTCTCTTTCATCTTTGACCATGACAATAATTCTTAATTGTTTGACATTCCCTGATATGTAATGACCATTGGCTGGACCAAACAAAAGCACACACATTGATATTTTCTAACAAGTATTAACGTATTTATATTAACATAATCATAAAATTTTCTAAACCAGTAAAACAAACAAAAGGATATATACACAATAAAAGAGGCTTCATCTTGGTGATAAATCAATTCCTGTCGATGTAAAATTGTGTAATCTTTATATGGTTTATATAAAGTATCTTTAGCTTTTACTTGATTTTACCTATTTACTTGTCATCCAAGAGAAACCTTGGAATCACGTGTAGGGTGGCATCGGCATCATCATCAATTATAATGATAATCAAACTGGAATACATGTTTCAGGTAATATAAGGAAGTTGTAGATCACAATTTATCCTCAATTGACTGACAAGTCTTAAGATCCTAGACAATTTACATTGGCATTTATAATAACCGGTATTAGTAGACCATTTGAAATGGCCCAAATAATTGATACTCTCTTGTTAATATATTGATAAGCCTCAAACAGAATGAAAGGAAAACTAGTTTTCTAGATCATTTGATGGGCTCAATTTGTTGATATTCTTGTAATCCTCGGGTGTTTCTTGGATCATGAAGAAACTTTGAGCAGAGTATTTGGAAATGTGAAGATCAGTAGCTGGATGGATAATGGTAACTTTGATACCATTAATTCAAACATGGATAAGTTAAGTACCGTAAATATCATTGGTGAAATCTTTTTCAATGATTTATCTAAGATAATATTTTCTCAACGGTGTCTTTATGAAATGGTGTCTTCTCAAGGGTTAGGACAACCTTATCTCCACCATATTCACCTTCAATGAATCATCTTGGTATCAACAACTTCATCTAAAATTCTTATAAATTTAATCATTGACAGATTAATCTCACCTTACCATGGATAGTTGAACTAACCGAATGAGATGAAGTTAAATCTAGACATTACTTTGCTCCTCTGTTAAAACACTTTGTCTCACCACCAGACGATTTAGGTGACAATCGTAATTGTTTAGGAGCCGGTCCATTGTTATCAAGTATATCGCTCATCATGACTAATTCTTCTGCAAATCATGTTTTTTCATTAGCAAAAGAAGGTGAATTCAAATGGAAAACACTGTATAAGCACCCTTTGTCTCACAGGAATACGAGAACGAGAATAAATTTCCAATAGAATTTCAAATGATTCCATCAATATAACTACTTTTCTCTAGAATATATCAAGATATCCAAAGAATTGTTCCCAAATAAGATAAGTTAAATACTCAAAATATCGGAGAGAAAAACTTATTTCATCATGTTCTATTCGAGATGTAAATCTAACAAATATCACCACTTAAAAGCCCGGAGGGCAGCGAACTCTCAGCCTACAACTAACAACACCTAAGAATCTTTGAAATTATTTAAATTTGATCAGAAACAAAGTGATTAAATTGAATATTTACTCAAACGATTGGCCAAATAGGACAGAGCCTATAAAAGTATAGGGAGAGAGTATCGATAATATTGAATGCGAAAAACATGAAAATCTGTTTGCAGATTCAATTTAGAATCTGAGAATTAGTATCATGATAATTCACTTTGATTGTATTCGTTTACATATAAGAGCAGTTGACAATTTAAAACAAACAAATTAACCAGAGATAAAGTCAACTTAATTTCTCCAATGGCTCAAAATTAGCGGGAAAATTAACTAATCAACAATTTAAATTGTCCTTTTAGTCCTTGAAACAGACAATAAATTATCGAGTTGATTAAATATTCATAATTAGATAATGGAACCAATATAATAGAGAGAGAGAAAGTGTTTTCCCGATTAAAGAGATCAAAGTAATCAACGAATTGTTGTTTTTTTTCTAATTTGGTCCAATTAACCAATTGTTTCTTTACGAAAACCACGAGGGCAAACAATTAACCCCGAAAGTGAACTAAATGACAATAGTAAATGAGACCTAATATATTGATAAGCCTCAAACAGAATGAAAGGAAAACTAGTTTTCTAGATCATTTGATGGGCTCAATTTGTTCCCTGTCTTGACCAGTCTCTATATCGGCTTGTCCATTGCCCTTTTCCCAAAGTTGTTTAACTTTTTTTCGCAATTCTCTTCTCTTTGAAGCTTCAATCTCCTTTTGCATCTTTATTTCGGCCTCGATTCTTTTCCATTGGGCTTCAACACTTCGTTCACCATTGAGAAAATTGTCCAATTTGGTTAACATTATCTCTCTCGCTCTGGCTCGATTAAGTTTCAATTCTCTAAACTCATGGTTTTTAACAACGATTCCTGTTGAAGAAAATAATGAAACAATAAACAAATTTACAGTGAAAACTCTAATACTACCTGTTGGTTTGTGCACTAATGTAACACAATTGTGAGCTTTATTGACCTTCTGTCCTCCTGGTCCACTACCATGAGCAAAATTTTCATCCAAATCATTTTCATCTAACTTTGGAACCGAAGAGTAATCAATACGAGCTTTAATTGATTTCTTTGATGCTAAACGATAGACAGAAACTAAATTACTTTCTAAAGAAAACAACTGACGAAGACATAACATTGAAAAAGAAAAATAATGATCCAATTTCCTTTTCATCAAATTACAACAGTTAATTGTTCAAGTGAATTTCAATCTAATAATTAGCAAAAGATACTTCAAATATCCAATTAAAGGAGAGAAAAAAAAATTCTCTTACAATAATTAACTATGAGAAAAGAAAACAAACTACCAATAGAATAGATAGAATTCAATCAAACCGATAATTTTACCATTCGAAATGAATCACACCAATTAATTAATTGTGATGACGAATTCAATAGATTAATTAACTTATTTTAATTGAAACTTTAAAAGAAAATGAAAAATATAAACAAATCATAATATTCGAACAAGTGGCTCCATCTAGTGGAGAATTTGCCATTTTCGTGATGGCGGTAAATTGAAAGAAAAGAATTCAAGCCAATGACTTGAGCTCTTGGTACTTTAGGTGGAGGCCACTGTTTTCTTTAACGGGAAAAGTAAGGGTTGCCTTTTGATAGTAATCACCAATTAAAGTTAAATTGTCAATGACATGATCAATTAGGTGGCATCTTTCAATGGATGAGCTTCGATATGAAAGTGGTTCAAAGTGTACATGAAAATGATAGAATGAAGGTTGATAATGGATATAAATACGAAGCTGATTCCCCTTGATTCCATATCTCTCATTCATGGCTTGACTTCCCTTGTCCCTGATGTTGGTGAGCAAAGTTAAATGGGCCGAGGTTAAATCTCTCAGTGATTTGATTCCCTTCTTGGTGACAATGGCCAAACAATGCATGTTAGAAGTTCCATCTTGTTGGTCAGCCCATTTGGAGTCGGGAGCTAAGATGAAACCTTTCTTCATCATTGTCCTCGAAAATGATTCTCCGCTTCACTTGAATGGTCCAAAACATTGTAAACCCAATCCAAGGAGAAAGACTGAGATTCAATGTAGGGTAAGGTGATATTCTTGTAATCCTCGGGTGTTTCTTGGATCATGAAGAAACTTTGAGCAGAGTATTTGGAAATGTGAAGATCAGTAGCTGGATGGATAATGGTAACTCTGATACCATTGAGTTCGGCTTGTGGATAAGCCCTGTAAGTACCGTAAATATCATTGGTGAAATCTTTTTTCAATGATTTATCGGTGGAAGATAATATTTTCTCAACGGTGTCTTTATGAAATGGTGTCTTCTCAAGGGTTAGGACAACCTTATCTCCACCATATTCACCTTCAATGTGAATCATCTTGGTATCAGCAACTTCATCTAAAATTCTTATAAATTTAATCATTGACAGATTAATCTCTCCCCTATCATGGAGACACATTGATTTAGATGAGGTTAAATCTAGAGCATTGCATTGCCCCTCAAGTTTTTGCTTATTTTTCACTTCAAATGAATGATGTTCATTAGACTTTTGTAATGAACATTTATGAACTAATCCAATGTTATCATTCATTATTAGAGATTCTATTGTGAATGGATTAGAATTATTCGATGGAGTTTGACAGAATAAACAATCATCATAATAATAACCTATTAAGAGAAGAAAAGAAGAAAAAATTACTTCAACATTTAAAGAACTTGAAACTGAAAAAAAAGTGGAAAAAATGGTCGAAAAAACTTTTTTTCTCTTTCGAAATTTTCAAAAATCGAAAAAAGAAAAGTAACTCCATCTCTCTTTTCTCTCGAAAATATTAGAATAAATTTCCAATAGAATTTCAAATGATTCCATCAATATAACTACTTTTCTCTAGAATATATCAAGATATCCAAAGAATTGTTCCCAAATAAGATAAGTTAAATACTCAAAATATCGGAGAGAAAAACTTATTTCATCATGTTCTATTCGAGATGTAAATCTAACAAATATCATCACTTAAAAGCCCGGAGGGCAGCGAACTCTCAGCCTGCAACTAACAACACCTAAGAATCTTTGAAATTATTTAAATTTGATCAGAAACAAAGTGATTAAATTGAATATTTACTCAAACGATTGGCCAAATAGGACAGAGCCTATAAAAGTATAGGGAGAGAGTATCGATAATATTGAATGCGAAAAACATGAAAATCTGTTTGCAGATTCAATTTAGAATCTGAGAATTAGTATCATGATAATTCACTTTGATTGTATTCGTTTACATATAAATTGCTATTCGAAAACTAAAAAAAGGTAATCAAACTGTTAAGTAAAACTTTCTCAGACATTAGAACGTAAAATTTAATGTTCTAATCGATTCTGTGTAAACATAACAATTGGTTAAATTAACTGATATTTATTATTTCTAACTGTAAATATATCATTTAGAGCAGTTGACAATTTAAAACAAACAAATTAACCAGAGATAAAGTCAACTTAATTTCTCCAATGGCTCAAAATTAGCGGGAAAATTAACTAATCAACAATTTAAATTGTCCTTTTAGTCCTTGAAACAGACAATAAATTATCGAGTTGATTAAATATTCATAATTAGATAATGGAACCAATATAATAGAGAGAGAGAGAAAGTGTTTTCCCGATTAAAGAGATCAAAGTAATCAACGAATTGTTGTTTTTTTTCTAATTTGTCCAATTAACCAATTGTTTCTTTACGAAAACCACGAGGGCAAACAATTAACCCCGAAAGTGAACTAAATGACAATAGTAAATGAGACCTAATTACTAGACAATTTAACTATCTAAGAGAAAATTAACTAACTATGCTAATCAAGACTCGGATTCTAAACCATTGGCAACCTAAGGCAAAGAAATTCTAATACAATTAAATTGATTTTTTCTCTTCTTTTGGTTTGGTTTCTTCTGTTCTTGGGTTCGGTCAATATGAAAACTAAGCTTTAACTTTTTCTCTCTGGTTTCTTATTATTTATTTCAACGAATACATTTTCTCATCAAGTTTTCCAGCTAAGTTACAGTAAACACTGTAATTAAGTAAGAAATTACAATTAAATCAACTTCATGAGAAGTATGAACATGATACCAATGAAGATTAGATTTTCGCTTGAAAGTAAAAAAAAATATTGAAAAGAAAAAAAGTTCGAAGTCTCAATTAATTGATTACAATTGATATTGGAACCATTTGGTTTCCTGTTTTGTAAATTACTTTTCTCACTTGATAGTTTTACACTAATTTCAATTGGGAAACACTGTAATTCAAAGGTCTATGGGTTAACAATGAACATATAGTTTACCCATTTAAATACTCAAATCATTTAAATTGTGTAAACAGTTAAAATAAATTGCTATTGAGATGGTGACACTTGAGGAGAGAGAGAGAATCTCAATTAATTAGTTACAGTAAACTCTTTTAATTTAATGGACAAATTAACATAAACATCTAATTTAATTGAAATTAATTGACATCGTAACAGAGACTAAATTAGTTGCGAGTAAAAAAAAAAGTTATGGTCATCAACAATTAAGACTAATAACAAATTATCCACTAGAGAAAAGTAATTGTGTTTATTGTGTTGATTGGAATAAGAAAAATAAAGTTAATAGTTAATCTAATTGATATTGGGTAACAATTAACTTGAAAATCTTAATTTGATAAAATTAAATTAAACTAATCAAGTAACTTCAAGTTTGTTTGCAAAATCATGCCATTAAAACAATCACAATTTAGAGTGGTAAATATTTTAATACCTGTAGTATTAAAAAATGACAATTGAATCAGTTAATTGTTGTTAAATGATTTGAACAATCGTACAATTGATAAATTGTGAACAAATCGAAGATGATTAATGAAGGAAACATTAAACTGCAACAAGAACAACAATTTAAACATAAAAAAAAGAGGCAACAAAAACAAACCATAGTTAAATCATAACAATCAATTGATGATCAACAATCAAATAGGAAAAAACTATTCACCATCATTAATGGATTTACTAATTTGTTTTGTTGCTTGTTTGTGATTTTAAATTGTTATTGGTAAACTAAGAAGTTTGTTAATTTAACGATCAGTATTTTCAATGATTTACTACCTATTATTATTATTATAAATTCACAATTTATGATTGTAACCATTATGATTACAATAAACAATTATGATTAAGACCCAACAATTTAAAATACACTCAAGTGTATTATTTTATCATCCATTTTTTATAGTTTAAGGTCAAAATATTAAGAAAAAGATGAAGAAACAAAAAAAAAGGGATGAAGAAGATGAAGAAGATGATGAAGATGAGTGTTTATGTTTGTAGAAACAAAAGAAATTAAGAAACAGGTAGAAAATTAAAGTTTTCCTAAGGTGGGTAGGAAATGGAACCACCAGAACCACCATCACCTTCCGGTGAGTCTCCATCCTCATCCTCCTTTCTCTCTCTCTGTCTCTCTATCTTTCACCCGCTCTCTCGAATTTGGAGTTTCGAATTTTAATTAAAACTATTGATTGGCACTCGATAGAAAACTGTAAAATAGAAATGGTTTAGATATGATCACAAGAAAACCACAAGACCAACACACAATTCAAACTTAAATTAGTGAGAAATTATGATTGATATAAGATGGAAATTGACTTACGTCCACCACGATCTTCCATGACGATCGATCTGTCCGGGAGACCAAATTGTTTATCTTGGGCTTGTTGCCTTCGCAGGGCAACTTGAGCGGCCATAATCCTTTGCCGTTCAACGATCAAGCAACAATTTCGGCAATTGCACTCTCGATAAAGGCAGTACCTCTTGTGGCCTTTTTTAGGAACCTCAAGTCCATGGTTTCGACACCGAGCGCAAAGAGGTTTGCGACTCTTGGGCTGCATTTTGGGCATTAAAGTTTGCAAATGATGAATCGAATTCATGGCGAACACAAACCAAACAACAAAGTAAACTAACAAATTCGACAAAGAGAACAAATGAAACCACGATGTTCAATCAGAAGAAACACTTATAGAACTCTAAAAAAACTCTAAAAAAGACACTAAATGAGAATCTGATATGCGCACAAGTCGATCAACAACTAATCCTAAGAAAATTGTTCTTCCTCCTTCCCTCAACCTTTTCTCTCCCAAATTAACAATTTCAAGTGAGAATCGAAAATCGATCATCGATAATCCATCGATACAGACAATTTAATTAGTTAATTGTTGGCGAAACATTAATTTTACTTATTCTTGTTGCTCATTTAATTTACTATATGATTAACAATTAACTCTATTCCCTATATGAATGTGTATGAAAATTGTTTAAAACAAACAATAAACTGGTTAATCTGGTAATTAACTAAAACAAACAGAACCAAAAACTTAACACAAACAATTAGCAAAGAGAAAGTAAATTGATTAGTTTAATTTTCGTGATTAATTTACACTCATTGTTATTATTGTGATTAATTTTTCGCTGGTTGTTATTATTGTGATTAATTTTAACTTAGATTGTTATTATTGTGATTAACTAATATTTATAGTCAATGAATATTATTTAATCCTGACACACTCATAATCAAATGCTACAAACGCACAATTAGTTAATTATTATGTTAATCATTTGAATCTCTCTGTATCTTCATTTTTTATATATTTCATCAAACAATTTAGTTTGTGTTTAATTGTTGTCAGATTAAAAAACAACAGAATCAAAATCAGTTGATTGTTTTAGGATAAAGCCTAAAGGCTATTTGTTTGTTTCCTCATTTAAATTGTTATTAACTCGTTGATCACTTTTTAGATTTACTTTTATCAATTTTTATCTTAATTGTTTGCCTTTTAAAGGTCACTTTGTAAATAAGATCACCTTTTTTTAAGGATTAGCCCTCAGGGTCCAGCTTAAGGATTAAAAGATTAAGATTAAAACTTTTTGAGATTTAACTTTGTTATTGATTTTATTTCTTGTTAAATTAACAAAAAAAAAATAAAATGTCAAGATAAAATTGGTTTACAATTGATTACAATATGCAAATAAGTACAATACACTTTTAGTTAATAGTAATTAGTTGATTGTAATCATCACTTTTTATGACTTTTTTTCGTGTTTTTTTTTGTTGTTGATTAACTTTCTCATCGTTGGAACAATTTAAATTAAGCTTTTGGTACATAATGTCCATATTCAAATGAACGAGAGAGAGAGAGAGAGGAGAAGAGGTTAATTGAATATAAATTTTACAATATCATTAGTACGATTAGTTGATTGTTTATGTTTTTTCAAATAGACGATCTTCCTCTTCCTCGTCATCTTCGTCTTCATTGTAACAATTAAGGATAACCTTATCCTGATTAGAATTGTAACTGGAACAATTAGAGATCTTCTGGTAACGACGAGAGTTTCGAGAGGTGAATAATCCTCCATTTCCACCGATTCCTCCTCCTGAAGTTGATCGAAAGGTTGAGATCATCTGAAGTAATAAGAAGATTATGGTGATGGTAATTAAAGATGAGAAACATATCACGATTATCACAGTTGGCGGACTTTTGATTAGCTTTTCAAATCGATTGGGTGAATTTAATTCCATTCCGTTTGGTCCATAGTTTGAATTATAAGCGTTTGAGGTTATTTTGTTTCCACCATTTGTATCCGTTGACATGGAAATACTTCGAGTTTTAGCTGGAACTGAACATGGACCTGATGAACTATCACAATGGCAACAATTTAGATGATTATTGTTTGAATTAGATGTTTTTTTGTGCTTATTGTTATTATTACTATTTTTACTTAAAGTGTTTGATAAATTAAAATCTAATGGTGAATATGAGTTTGAATGAGATGATGATGATGATGATTTTCGGTTACAACAAGGTAAACAACGATTTGATTCTAAAAATAATGGGAATCGACACTCGATACACTCCTTGGAACTTGGTCCTGAACATGATGAGCAAGATTCATGGCAAACATCACAAGATTTTGTTAATGAATTAAAATATTCCCCCGATGGACAAGGGAGACAGAAGCCATCCTTTAAAGGAGCTGAATTAAAACAACTTTTACATTGTGAATGAGATGGACCAGAACAAGTTTCACATGATTCATGACATTTTCGGCATTCAAGAGATGCTTTTATATTATTATCGATATTTTCAATTGATGTTGACTCATAATAATTAGATGGACATTGATTGGTTGAACAAAATCCTTCCAATAGACGATAACCTGTTTGACATGAGCTACAAGTCAATTTAGATGATGAGGATGATAATGATGATCTTTGTGATGGATTACATGAAGTACAATGGTCTGGACATTGTTTGGCGACATTGTTACACAAAGAGCCTTCGCAAACGGGTGAACATTTGTTTTTCTTTGACTCTAATCGCCAGTTCATGTTACATGATGTACATTGATCTCGAGTTTTAGAACATGTTTTACAACTTCGTGAACAGGGAAGACATTCACCGTACTTTTTATCGGCATAATAGCCTCCAGGACATTTGGTTAGACAATGATCACCGTAGTAATATCGATTATTAGTTTTATCACAAGTAATACAATTCTCTGATAATGGTCCGTAGCAAGTTTTACATTGAGAATTACATTTGCTACATTCAATTGTCTCTACATTTCCATAGGTTCCTTCTGGACAATCTTTCACACATTCATTGGTCTCTAGGTTCATAAAAGTTGCCTTAGGACATTTGGATGGTATTCGAGGAGGAAGAAAACGAACTGGCCTCGAAGAATCTTCATAGTTTGGTATTGGTTCATTAACACCATAAAAAGTCATTCCCCAAGAAATTAGTTCACCAGGTTTTTCGGCTGGAGAAATATCATTTTTAATTATTAATCGCCAAACTCCACGGGGATTTTCACCCCAAAAATGAACTGAAAGGAAAGGCCATTGTTCAAAAGCGACATCAACAGCGTCTTTTACTCGAGGAGTTAGAAGATTGGAAACTGTACCAGAAGGTGAAATAAGGGTTAATTTCAATGATCCTCTGGGTCGAAATCGTAAATCAACGCGAGTTTGAACATGTTCAAGATAATTGATATCGTCAGAAGTTCCTGAACATCCAGTCCAGTTGAGTGAAACCTCTAACTGATCTGCTGGATTCTCAGGGATTAAAAGTTTCTCCTCACGAACAGGGGATTCACAGATTAACTGAGGTGGAACTGGATGCCATTTCTCAGCTAAATCAACCATTGCTTCAGCATCCATCAAACCATAACCAAATTTATGACTAATATTCCGACCAACAGCATTGGTAAACCAGCCATCTTCATTTTTCAAAGGTTCAAAACGTGAGGTTCGAACAACAATATGCTGCATATCACGCCAGGTAAGGTTTGGATTTGCTTCCAAGGCAAGAGCACAAATCGCGGCTGCAATAGGAGCTGATGCAGAGGTTCCGGTGTGTGATTTGGTACAAAGACGGGAAGCATCAGGTGGATAACCATTTTCAATAGACTCGAAGTAAGAAGTATCCATATCAACAGTTACAATATTCTGATCACGACCCAGGGAGCCACTAGAATAAGTTGTCGCCAAGGTTGATGAACATTCCTCAAGGTACCAAGGTTTGGTTCCACTTTGAGTAGCTGAACTTATCGATAAGGTATAAATTGAATTGGTATAACCATCACAATTACAATTATCATCACGTCGACCACCATTACCTGAGGCCCAAACAAATATCGATCCTTTTCCTCTGCGACCCTGCGACAATTAAACACACAAATTAAATTATTATTATTGGATATCATAGGAAAATGAGAGGATACAACTAAGAATCTAAAGTGGAAATCAATTAATCACAATTAAACTCGTGCTTGAACAATGAATAAGGTTACATTGGGCAAACAGCGAGAAAACAACAAATATGATTTAAATATTCTCACAATTTAAGGTCAATGTTCAAATTGAATTAAAGCTTAAAAAGGATTAAAGAAGGTAAATTAACTCTTTTTGATATAAATGATGAAATTGCAAAAACAATCAACAATCAACACGATTGTGCTTGTCACTTATACAACAGGAAATGACAAATTATTTTCCTCACTGATTCACAATTAACATTATAATCAACATTGAAAACTCAATTTTTGCTACTTGCTGTTCACAATTGGTGAACATACAAAAGAAACAAAAATCATTAGTATAACAACAAATGACCATGAATAGAGATGGTTAATTGTAATTACTATTTTTCAATCAAGGAAATTGTTTAAATATAAAATTTCATCAAGTTTGAACATTGATTGTTATCTCCATGCAAAGAAAAGGTACTATTATTATTAGATTTTGGGAGCTGAATTAGTTAATTGTTAAGAGGCTATTATAATTATTATCATATCTCATCTCAAAAAGGTGATTTTTTTTGTTAATTTAGTGTTGAACCTTTTTAATTCCGTCGATAAAAGCGCGTTTCGCAAGCCTACCAGGTCCATCAACCGTTTTCCCGTCGTCTTCTGGTCCCCATGAGGCACTATAAATGTGAACATGATCTGGATTAAGGCCAAGAGCTCGAGCTTCAACTTCATCGGTAACAACTCCGTCCAACATCCGGACTCCTCCGATACTTGAATTAAATGCTATCCCAACACCACAAAAATCATTACCTGCTACAGCAGCTACTTCACCAGCACATCGAGTACCATGTCTAATCAATCAAATAAGAAACAAATTAAATTTAATCAAAGTTTTCCATCTTGAAATTTACAGATAAATGACATTGAACTTTTTCTTGTTAACTGTTAATATCAATGTCAAGAGGAAGAAGAAAAAAATAATAATAATAATTCATTGAAATTGCTGAACAAAAAAAAATGACAACTTCATTTTCCATCACGTTAATTATTCAATGTGATTGAATGTCATCGTTATTTTGTAAACAATCAATGTAATTGTCAACAAAACGAAAGATGATCATCATGATATTTACTTATTATCTCCATTATCCTGAGGAGTTGGATCAGGATCATTACTATTTACATCATAACTTGCCAATGGATCCTTTAAGAAAGGGAGAGAGTGAGAGACGAGACAATTAGTTAATCATATCCGTAAGCGATTAAAGGTTAATTTACTCACATAATTAGCTGCTAAATCAGGGTGATTAGGTTGAATACCATCGTCAAGAATAGTGACAACCACACCTTTACCGGTGAATCCTTTTTTCCAAGCAGCAGCAACATTCATATCATAACCATCACGAGCTCCTTTATTCTGATTGTTTCAACAATTAATTATAAGAGAAAACAATAAATCAGTTAAAATTGTAAAATCATTGTTATAAGTACATAATTAGAATCAAATTAAAAACATGGGAAAAATTATACAATTGACATTTACGTCAATTGTATTTTTCAATTGAAAATCAATTTGAATCTGATAATGTGATTCCTGATTTTCGATGATGATTAAAATTAAGTCCAATCATTTCCTCCACATAAAAGATATTCAATTGTCCGTATGATGATAATTTGTTTGGATATTTAATTAATTACATGATACTTACAATATACCATTGCTCTTTGAATAGTGGATCTGAAATCGTTTCCGGAATATCTTGATTACCTCGTTTCACTCGAGGCTTGGCTATTTGTTGCGCAGCCCACATAACCTGTTAATTGTTGAGAAAATTTATCTTTAAATAATTAAATGGTTCAGATCAATTGATTGAGTTATGTTGATTGTTTATACTGAATCTATATAAGCATGTCAACAATTAAGAAAATGAGACAATTCAATTAAAATAGTATCATCGATGGTTAAGTTAATTGACAGCAAAGTGATGAGAAAAATACCTTAATTTAATTGTTTGTTGATCTGAGAATTGATTAAATTTACAATTATAATAAGATTGAAATTCTAAATCTGATCTAATTGTTGACAGGTTGTTGATTCAATTTAATCAACCATGAAAATCTACATTTTTGGGTGATAATGAAAGTAGAACTTTCAATTGGCTGATTTAGATTTTTGATTCAATTTCAATCAAAATCTTGTTGTTCTCAATCATCATTATCATGTCTCGTCAGAATCAATTAGCTCTCATACGGAAACAATATTAATTATTGATTAATCGGATTTAAACTTACTCTATCATCATCCTTGAGTTTAGTATGATGTTCATGGGAATGATCAGTTGATCGTTTTGAAATCCCATGGTGATCAAATAGATAATGATTATCTAAACGCCCAATCTGTTAATTAAAAAGAGTAATTAGTTTTCATTGTAATTAAATCATTTTTAGGTGTTAGAAGGTTTCTCATGAAAATAAAGTCTAAATTGTTGATCACTTTATAACAATTAACGCAAATATTTACTTAATAGTGAGTTGGATCAACAGGTGATTCAATTTTGATCAGTTCGCTTTTGTTAATTGTGATTAAATGTTGGCAAAAATAGCAGTTTATTTTATTATATCAACAAGTTAGATTGTTAATTGTGTCTAAATTGCAATTAATCAATGGGAAAGATGAATGGGAAACTTGTTGATCATCAGTGGTCATTAAAAATTATCATCAGGATAATCAGTGTGATCATTGTTTTAATCAGTTAAAGGTTATTGGCTTTAAATTGAATTATAAAAAGACAAAGTGAAAAAAAAAGTTGACAATTAAGTTTAATCAACATGATTGTTACCAGTTACGGCAACAATTAAACATTTGATAACTTGAAATGATGATTAAAGCAACAAATTAACAGTAAACAACTTCCCCAATTGTGTTGATTAAGACAATCAATGAGAAACATTTTCAGTTTGTTTGATTATTCAAAAATCAACAATTGGGCTAAATAATAACAATTAAGATGTGAAACGAAATATAATAAGAATCTATTTATGAATCACATTCAATTAGCTTGAGAAAACAAATAATGTTGATAATTAGTTTGGCTAAATAGTATTAACAGTTAACAGTGTAACTTAATTGTATTAACCTAATTGTAAACTGATCACAACAGGAAGCTAAATCAATCAAGGTGAATTAAAGGAAGGACAATTAAGGTAATGGAACAATTAATAAACAGTATCACTGTATTAGACTGTCAAAAAATACTAATGATAACAATCAAATCAATTAAGATAGACAATTATCATCAAAAGTAAAATTAGTTAATTACCAATGTAATCGATATGAAAGGATAGAAAAAGACATAAAGTAACAATTAAATAGCAATAAAATTAAGGTATTAATAATAAAATAATACTACGAGTTATGAGCTGATTGATTAACTGATTAATTGGAGCAAGTGTATAACAATCAATGACAATTTGCATGGAAAGAACCACAATTAAGCGTAACAATTAGTTAATTAATAGTTTCTTTCAATACTATTAAGTGATAGAGGAATGCGAGAAAAACATGGCTAAGGTAAATTGTTACAAGTATTTAATATTATTGACTAAATTAGTTGCCAATTGCAGGTTTAAAATTAAGAAAAAATCAAGAGCAATCAAATTAACGGTCCAAGGTTTTAACCTGAAAACCAGTAATTCACCTGAAAACATAATCATAATGATAAATTTTGGTAATGGTTCCTCAATATATACAGAAAAGTTGAAGAGATTCATTAATACATCTGATTAGTTTTGATGATGATTAAAAAATAAACTATGTTAAGGTCATGATTGTGATTAATATTAAGCTGATTGAGATGATGATGATAATGATGATATCGATAATAATTGACTTGATTACGATAATTAAGAAAGAGAAAGCATTTGAAAGAATCGAAAGAAAAAAAGAGTAAATAATCAAATATGATATTATTATGGGTGAAACCGTGAAGAGAAAGTTAATCATCATCAGTAAATCACCATCATCATCATCATCATCATAAACCTTAATCATTGAAGCTTGATGTAACAAGTATCACACAGCTATGATACTTAATTGTATGAAGGTATCATCACAATTAGTAACCTGTAATCAAACAATTGGAACTTAACAAAATAATAATAATATAATCACCAGGCTGATCACTCAAATCCAGAAAGATTAGTCTGGTTAATTGTTGACTAACAATTTATATATATGAAAATACACTTATAACATGTTAATCAACAATTTACGGTAACACTTAAACTTTCAATTGATTGTTATATTGACTCCAGTGTATCAACAATGTGAATCTAATTTAATAATCAGTTTTATGATATTGGTAAACAATTAACAGATGACAATAAAATAGGAATAGTAGTTATCATGTTGCTATTACTATGTAACAGAAACATCGTTGCTTTGGTAATTAATTGAGTCTATGTTAATTTGGTTGATTGTTAAATGGCTTGAAATTATCAATTATCAAGAGAGAGTGAGAGTAATAAACCTAATCAAATAGTGAGTTTAAATTAAATGATTTACAATGAAAAAGAAAGAGAAAAAATTATAAATGCTAATCAGCTTAATTATTGGCAAAAATTCAAGGTTTTCAGGTTCTTCCTGAGTAATCATCACCTCATGATGGTTATCAATACAAAATTCTGGTACCACAGATGAAAAAGATAATAATTACATGACAATTAAGTAATATATTTCATGGTAATTTCATGTGAATAAGGTAAACCAAGTACAAGATCAGAAAAGATGAAAAGTAGCCTCAAGATTGATCATGAAAACCGCACACATGATGGACAAGGTTAAATTCTGGGGAAAATTGTCCACATTAAATTGTCAAATTGGCTTAATTGATATGATAATTAGAATGGAAATTTACAAACCTTTCCCTTATAATTAAATCCATGAGTAGAAGCCAATTGTTGAGCATCTTGTTCACTTGTTCCTGGTCGTAATTGAACAGCAAACTGATTGGTATAAAAACCAACATTTGATTGGCACAAAACAGTTAAACCAAATTGACTAATTACTATTGTTAATAAGGCAACTATTAATACTAAATATCTTTTATAAGATATTAATCTAATGTCTTGAAAAGGTATCACCATTGTTGTCGTATTTGTGTCTGTGTGTGTGTGTCTTTGTTTATTTTATTATTTCTCTATCCGGTTTCCTGAATAGAGAGAGAGATAGAGAGTAATTGTTGCGATGAAGGTGTTGAGATGATAAAATAAATGAAGATTTAGGAAGATGATGATACACAGATGACGATGATGATGAAAGATTTGTTGATTACAATATATAACAAGAGGTAATTAATATCATCACAGTTAAAGTGATGATGATTTACCTTTCAAAATGAACATGGAACTTTTATTTTCCATCATCAGGTGTAAACAGATGAAAGAAACACATAATTAATGGAAGGTTACATATTGATTAGATTGATGATTTGGAGAGAGAGAGAGAGAAATAGAATTTTAGAAAAAAGAGAGAAAAAAAGCTGTTAATTCTACAGTAAATTCAAAGGAAAATATAAATAAATGAACTGAACAGTTGTTCAGGTAGATTAACATCCAACTAACATGTTCTCTTGATTCTCTTTTCTCTCTTCTCTTTTTCGAACAAAAATATTCTATTCTCCCATTTTCTCTTTCTTTTTTACTTTCTTTTTTTTCTTTTTTCGTTCTCTCTCTCTCTCTCGCTCAAGATTAGTTGATTAGATTCACAGATGGCTTTGATAGAGAATAAGTGTTGATGAGAATGATGAGGATGATGATAGTTGATGATGATGATGAAGTAAAAGTCAATTGATTGATTTGGATCACATTAATTGTTCATCATAAACACAGATAGAGAAAGAGAGAGATAGAGAGAAATTGATTCTCATTTATTGTAGATAATAACAACGCCATCATTTTAATCACTGGAGAGATGAGAAACAATTAAATACAAAAGGTTAAACAATCAACCATTTTGCTATCAAAATTGAAACAATTAAACATTTTAACATATTAACGGATTAGGTAAAAGAAGAACTAAAAAAACAATGGAAATCAAAATGAAGAACCGTCAACATTATTTTGATTAGAGAGAGAAATGATTTAATTGTTGACAAAACCACCTTAGAAAAAACTGCCAATCAACATGAAGATATTAACGATAATTAACAATTTCTATCACAATTAAATTAAATCACAATTAAAGAAAACAAATTATTCATTTTAATTGTAAATTCATTGTTTTCATTTCTCTTTCCATATCAAAACATATGAAAAGTGTTCCAACTTTGGCGACACCTGTTGACGAATAGAAAATTTAATTTTGGGAAAAAAGAAAAAAAAATTTTTCGATTTTTCTTTAATCACAATTAACTAATTGTTTCCCCGTAAAGGTTGATTCTTTTTTCTCATTGATTATTGTTAATTACCAAGAAAATGTCTATGTTTAAGTGTTTTATCCTTCAACTGATTATTTATTTATATGCGACTTGAAATGTTCAATTGTCAGAACAATTTTCTAAATTAAATGATAACAATTTAGAAAAAGTAATTAAGTGATTGTTACTTAAAGATTGTTTCTAATACATTATCTCTTGGTTGATTATTGGTTGATTGAAATTTGAATCCAATGGTAATTAATTGTGAGCAACTTCAATCAGTATAATAAACGGAACCATCATTGTGATGATAATCAGTGAATTGTTGATTACAATGAGGAAATTTTGTCAATCAGTAAATTTGATTGTGAACATTTGATCATGAAAATGATGACCAATTCATAAATATTAATCAGTTACAATCAGATGATTGTGATGATCTTAATCAGTGGCCCAATAGAAAATTTGATCAACTAAATTAATCATTAATTATTAGAGTGAATCGATTGACCTTACAATTAAATAATAAACATAGACATGTAATCAAATCAGTTAATTGAAAGATCAATGGTTGATAATAATGATTGATTAAGATTTAGATGGATCAGTTAAAACAATTGAGACTAAATCAAGTTTACTGCAACAGTTAATTGAATTCCAATTGATAACAATTACAATTAACGATAATTGTTGCCAATCAATTGATTAGATACAATCGGTGGTAATTTTGATAAGTTGATGAAACTTTTTCCATAATAGTTTCTTTGTCGCAATAGATTAGAATCAAGTTCGTGTTTGAAGGAATCAATTAATTAACTGATTAGTTAATGCAAACAATTAGTGATTTTAACATTTTAAATTGAGTTCGAAACAAAGTTTCTTCATTTCTTTTTTTTCCACTCCATTGGTTAATCATCTTAAGATCCTAATAAGATTCTTGGTTAAACTTGACCTAGTTTTGTCTCTGCTGTTAATTGTTATTATTGCGACTGTTGATCAATGATCAGAAATATAATATCGATTAAATCAAGGTTAAGATGTTATCGATTAACTAATAAAGTTAAAAAATATTCTAATCTTATTTTCTTAATCTATTCTAGATAAAGATTAAGATATTATCATAATTTCCCCCTTTGGATGATAAAAACGCACCAGTTTCAGATTCTTCCTTTGATTTCGATCAACTAATCTTCCACTCATCATGAATGCTCCAGGAAACAACGACCTTGCATTCAGCTCATTGGAAACATGAACCTTTCAAAATGAACTGGAGGCTCATCGACAGGAATCAGAACTTGAGGTGAGATGCTCAACTCTCTCTCTCTCTCTCTCTCTCTCTCACTCACTCTCTCTCTCTCTGAAAAACATGAGATTTTAAAGTTCTGATTATAACCAAGCTCAGTTCTAGTTGATGAAATTCTGCCTCTTACTTTAGAATAGGAATTTTGCTTTGCAATTTATGGCAAAATAATGATTTTAAAATGAAAAGATAATCAGTTAATTGTGGATAATAATTCATCAGTTTGTTTTATTAAATTAGATCAGGATGACAAGTAATGAAGACAATCAATCGGTAACACAATTAAACTCATTTCTGTGCAATAACAATTTCGGTAAAGTAAAATTTATCATAATTTAACATTTATAGTAAAATAAATCTAATCAATGAAAATTACAATATGAATAAATTAATTGTTGGATCTCTTGCTTGAGTTTCTTTTGTGCCTTCGAGTGACAATAAATAAGAATTTTTCATTTAAGTAAATTGTGGAATTGACTTCGAACCAATTTCTACGTCGGTTGTAGTGCTGAATAAAATAGCGATACAATGATGAACAGAAATAACAAATAAATAGATATCGAAAGTCCTATGCATCCATAGGCCAAACATCGTCGCACCAACGATTTCAACCTTTTGGACTGACATTCATCGGGCAACTGGATAGTATTTATACCTAATTCCGAATCGATTGGGAACTTCTCAGCCATCTAGAAGGTAAAAGAAAAGAGAAATTAATTACTACGAATTTACATGAAATCTCATGTTTCGTTAGATCGATTGTTGGATTCAGAAAGTGAATTTGTTTACAATCGAAAATTTATTTTATTCTGGTTCTTTGGGTTCTTTTGGCCATCACTGAGTCCAGTTCGATAAACTCGATGTCAGAACTGTTCGTAGTTCTAAATCTCTCCAAGATCGAATTGGAATTGGAAATTATCGAAATCGTAATGATACCAAACGAATTTATCTCTTGCTCGAAGTTTCTTTTTATTTTATTCTCTCTATTTTCTTCCTCGATTTCTATTCTCTTGACAATTAGTGATTCTGTTCATTAGATTTCCAACAATCGATTATGGTCCATGATTATTTCTCAACAAAATCGATAACAGTAAAACTCATTATTACTCACAATATGTTAATTGTGGTTACCATCATTCTCGTCCCCAAATCCTTCAGTTTTTGACTTATTTTCCAGTTCTTTCAGTTTTTTGTCAACGTAAAAATCTAGTAATGCAAATTGACTTCGAACCAAATTCATGAGTTGTACAATTAGATCCAAAAAGTTCTAGGGAAATTAAGATGAAGCCTCTGACCGTGATCTTCATGTTCATGAAAAAAAAACAAGAAAAAAGATGACATTGAAACGAAGCCAAAAAGGTTAATAGGCCATTGAATAAGGCTTTACTTTAACAATGTTCTAATGTTGATAGAACTTTGATTTCGATTGCAAATTAAAGCCCATGGTCTATTAGATCTGAGGAGTGAATTCCAGAAAAATCCGAAATTTCTTAGCATTTTGAGGTCAAATTAGGTCACAACTCACAACTTTTCCTATGGAAATTTGAACACAGAGAAATTAGGTCATCGATTTCTTAAGGGTTAAAAGTTCTTCTTTTTTTGGGTCAAGTTCGAGTCTTTTGAATTTTAAAAATTACACAATCGATAATGATTCCAAATCCTATTAATGTAGAGATAATTATTGGAATATTAAAATTGAAGAAAATGAAATTCCAAAAATATTTGTGACCGCAGTTCGGTTTCATTGTGAAATCGAGACTTTTGACCTAATTCAACTTCAGAGCTAAACGAAATTTCAGATTTTTCTGAAATTTCTTCTAATAACAAACAGCCTCTGGGCTTTAATTTCCAGTCAAAATCAGAGTTCTATCAGCAATAGAACATAATTAAAATTAAGACTTATTGAAGACTCTCCAGAAAGAGTGAAATCGATACAAGAAAACGAAAATGTTTCTCTTGTAATAGAAAAAAAAATCTCATATGAATTACTTGCTTATTTTAACAATATGCATAAGAATCCAAGTTGATTGAGATCAGGAACAATTTTCGAAGTGAACAAATTAAATTGATTTGATCGATAAGCTTTAACATAGTAAGAATAACAAATAATTAAAATAATTAAAAAAACAATGGAGATCAACATGAAGAACTGTGGCCATTATTTTCAATGGAAAAATAATTTAATCGTTGGCAAAAGAAAAAATCAATTAATTAATTCACAATTATTTACGAAGATTTCATATTATCACAACTAAATCACGATCAAAGAAACCAACTGAACCTTTCGAGTATCGAATTCATTGTTTTCATTTCTCATCAATACGAAAATCTAATAAATAAAATCCATTGAGAACTGTTACCAACTTCGCCATCTATTGTCGGAGAGAAAACTTAATTCGATTGGATTAATCATCTTGTGTTTTACACTAAATTGTCAACTTTCTCTCTTAATTAATCATCGTTGATTAACACTAATTATCGATCAATTTGTGAGCTCGAAAACATTGATTATGTATCGAAACTGAACCAAACTTTGAGTACCTAATGATGGCCCGTCGGTGGCTTGTACTGTCCAAAGCATTCACCTAATGGTGTTAAGTAAATGGAAGAAAAAATTTCCATCTCATCACAATTAACTAATTAATTGCTTCCAAATAGCGCTTGCATTAATTAATCCAGAAGACGATTAGTAAATTGTTTTGGATTTTATTTATTCAATTAATCAGTTGCAATATTTACATAAAGTTTAAAGTGTTTCTTATTTTGATAACTTTAAATTGTCAGAAAAAATTTCCAAATAATCAACAATCAAGGAAAAATAATATCGATAATTAATTTGTCTCTATTATCTTATTTTTAAGTTAATTGTTTGAGCTTTTTAAAGATTGGTGATTGTTGATAATTAATGACAAATAAAATCAGGGAAGTCCAAGCAATTTAATTAACAATTAGATTATGTCAATATGAATATGTGTTAATGTGATATAATTTTGTTTTAATTGTTGTGGGAAAATGAAACTCAGTTTAAATTTAATTATACAGAAAATCAATTCCATTGGTGAAATGACCATTCCATTTGTTAATTAGTAAATGAAAATTTACTAACTAGTTTAACAAACCATCACTGTAATGATAATCCTTGAATTTTCAATAACAATTAACAAATTTTGTCAATTAGCAAATTTGATTCTGAAAAAAAAACAATGAGAAACAATTAACGTTCAGTTTTATCAATTAACTAACAACTCGTAACAATTGAAAGTAAATCAAACTCACCAAACTTAACAGTTAGCAATTGGATTCCAGTTGATAACAATTAGTAACAATCAATCATAACTTTTTTAAATTGTTATTTCTTGATGAAGTTGCTAAATCACACCAAGTTTTGTAATCAATTAACCGATTAGATCCAATCGGTGGTAATTTCAACGATTCACAATCTTGAGCAATCTCTTGATTGTGATTAGAATCTGGATTAGCTTTAATTACATCAGATTTACCTCCTTTAGATGAAGATGATTTAGACGAAGATGATTTTGTTGAAGTTTTTAATTGTGATTTATTGATTGTGCTATTAGTATTTTCATTGATTTCTCCATTTCCAAACCAAGACATTGTTTCTTGTTCCCAGATTTCCTCATAATAATCAGTTGATCGGTTAATTGATTTAAGATTTTCAATCTTTTTCCTCAGAGCAGTTTCGAAACTATTACAATTAGTTAAATTATCATCGCAATTAGCTTCATTTTTATCCGTTGAGTTATTATTGTTGTTATAATGACGACGTGATAATGAACATTGTTTCATCTTGGTCGCAATTAAATCATCATCTTTACCATCAAGATGATATTGTGATCCAGTGTGATGATTTTGATCATGATTAAGTTGATTGTGATAATCACTAGTTACATAGGTTCCATCTGAATCAACGGAAATTGAATCAAGTGATTTAGCTTTCGAAAGTGTTGGTCTGATTGATGTCCATCTTTCCAAGTCTTTCGAGTAAATCGAATTGAATTGGGTCAAGTAATTAGTTAATTGCGATACAATTTCACCTTTTGATTCTTCCTTTGCAATTTCCAATGCGTTTTTGCCGTAATTGTTTCGTTGTCTCAATAGATTAGGATCAAGTTCGCGTTTGATGAAATGACCAACAAAACACTCGACGACATTTGATTGTCCACTTTTAGCCCCATGCATCAGGGCAGTATTGCCCTCTTTGTCCTGAATCGTGATATCGGTATTAACCTGTTAATGTATCAATTAATTTATGTGACAATTAGTAAATCATTTTGAATTGAGTTCGAGCAAAAATTTTTCTTCATTTCCTTTTCGACTCTATTGGTTACTCATCTCAATTAGATTCTTAGTCAAACTTGACCAACTTTCATCTCAGTTGTTAATTGTTATTAATCATAATAATATTAATAATATTACGACTGATGATCAATGATCAGAAATATAATATTGATTAAATCAAGGTTAAGATTTAAAGATTAATTGATTTGATTGATTTCTCCAGTGGAAAACAACTGATGGAATCACAATTCACTTATCATTAATCTGATTCAGTTAATTTGGTTAATGAGACAATTTAATTAGGACGCTTGTTGATATGAATTTAGGTTCTTACTCATCTTCCTCTGGTCATTCAGTGATTTGGTTTTATCTGTTCAGTGGTCAGTATTATCATCACTATGGTGACACAAATTTCTGACCAAGTTGACCAATCAGTTGACCATGTACAGGTTAAACTTGGGCTTGACCCTTTTTTTAATATCATCAACATGAAAGGTAATTAGGTTACACAGTTAATTGTGTTTCCATAACCAAAGGTAAAATCTATGTCAACCTAATGGTCAAGATGATGAATTAAAGTTAATCCAATGGTTTCTGTTTTCATTCAACAATTTAGGTTAATTAAAATGTTGATTTGTACTTTCACTTATATTATATTCAAGATCAACAATTTAGCTCTAAATGATTAATTTGATTTCTTTTGATTATATGTCAAGATCATTAGATTAAATCTTAATTCACTTCCGATGGAAATAAACTTTCTAATTGTTAATGAAATATTATTGATCTTAAAATGTTACAATTACAATCAAAGTATGATGATGATGATGATGATAATCAATCAAATGAATATTATTACTGAAACATGATAGATTCCGATCAATCTAACATCTAATCAATTCAAATGATCAATTTAGATGAATCATAATCAATCAAATTGTAAGGTCTAATTAATTCACGGGGATGAGGTACAGGCACCCTTACAAAAATGCACCGAAATGATCGAACTGCAATCCTAGCAATTAGTGAGAGGGTTTAAAGTAAATTACCCTAATATCCCTCTTAGCCAATTAGCAAGAGCAATTGAGTAACGATTTAGTTAATTAGGAAATTGTTTATTGAAGTAAGTAACACTTTGAGATTTATAACATGGAAACGGAAGTTGAGAGATTGGGGAAGAGAGAGTTAACTTGAGTAAGTTAAAGGTTAGACATTAACATAACCTGATTGAGAGATTAACATAAAGATGAGTAGTAACAACTATTTTCAACTGATCATGAGTGATGTGGAAAAGGAAATAGCATAGGTATTTATGCAGGTAAAGAAAGAGATGATTGGTTACAGAGATTAAGCGGGATAAACAAATATAATAATTAATTGATTGTTGATGGAGAGAAATAATTAAGGGGAAAGAAGCCAATCGAAGCGTTTTACAGAGCCCCGTTCAAAGCGTCGATTATGACCTTTAAATAGGCTTAACGACGTTCGTAAGCGTAGAAAAGGCTTCTGATATGCTTATAAGGTAACGGTCGTTTATGATCAGGTTCTCCATCAATGAAATCTTCAGGATAAAATTGTTGAATTTTCTGAGATTCTTGTACTTTTCTTGGGAGTTTTGATTTGTTTTAAGAGCATCAGGCCAATCGATAATTTGTTTAAGAACATCTTTAAAAGTCCACCCATATTGAAATTAAGAGGCCAATTGTATCCTCGATAACCAGTTTTAGTAAAACGAGGTTTGGTTTTGTATAATTCAATTAAAGTTGCTTCAATTCGAGGCATATCGATTAAATAGAGCCAAAGGGTAAAAGCTGCATCGATAATCGGGGAGTGGAGTTTTTCTTGAAAGATTTTTCCAAATAAAACGAAGGCACAATATTTTAGGCCAAGAGCTTCTTTTGATTTAACTCGACAATTATAATAAAGGGAAATGTCAACGATTCGAGGTAATAAATAATAATGATCACGTGGAGTTAGATAGAGATCAAAAGATCGGCAATGTGACCACAGAGAATGATTCGATCATATTTCTTAGAACTTTTAAAACTTCATCTCGAACTTTACAAATAACGGTGCGAATCGAACATCTTCGTATTTTAAGCCATGAAAAGCTGTTTGCATATCCCAATTAGCTGCTGCTGGATGACGAATGAATGAGTTGTAGATAATATTATTGCACTGGTCGACAATCGAAATCCATACTGGAACATTTTTAAAACTTCCATCCTTCATTACAATAGTTTGTTTCTCAATATCGATTGCACAAACTTTGAAACCATAATATTTGATTTTTCCAACTGCAGAAGCAATTTGCTTCGAGAAATGTTCAGGAGGAATCATTAGTGGTAATGAAGGGATTGATTTAGCTAATATAACATTTTTATAAAGCTTTTGTCTCCTTTGATTTTTTTGTTTGTTAAATGCTTTTGAATTTTTTCGTCGATATAATAATCGGGATTTACGGCGTTTAACAAGTTCAGCTTCAGTTTCAGGCGTATGAGCTGGAGTAGCTTGAGTGATCGGTTGATATTTTTCGGCTGAACTGAAATTGAAAATGATATCATCTGAATTTGGTGATTGTTGAGATGAACATGGAGAAGGAGATGGTTGAGATGATGAAGTTGAAGGAACAGCTGATGAAGTAGATTCTTGAGATGATGAGAGGCTTAACGAAGGAATAGATCGGCGGGTTCGAGGATCTGAAGGAGTTGGATCGGGAGTTGACTTTGGAGTTGAAGGAACTGAATCAGGAATTCGTTCAATAATTGTCGTTAGATTTTCACTTGAAATCTTTAATTGTTGTTGTGGAGGAGGTTCATTCCAATCAACACAATCTTCTTCCCTTGGACGTTGGAAGGTAAAAGGTTTGGGAGGTGGAATTACGGGAGTTAATTCACCTCGTTTTCGAGCATTTTTATTGGCTCGACGACGTTGATTAGCTTGAGATTTTAATGCTCTTGATGCTTCAATTATATCCCATGGTATCTCTGGTTCATGAGTTGGTGATGCGGAAGGAGATGAATTAATCTGTTTAATTGTTTCAGTTTCTTTGGGAGTTTTTTGTTTATCTGATGAAGGAGTAATAACAGGTAAAGGTGAACCTAATTTTTCTAATAATAATTCAAATGAAGTCGGCTGAATGAAAAGATCTGCTGCTGAAATTGGTTCTTTAATTGTTGAGGCTGTAGTTGTAGTTGTAGTTGAAGATGAAGGAGTTGGTGAAATTGATTGTTGATTAATTGTTAATTGTTCTACTTGTTTTTGAATTTTAGATTTAGATTTTCTTTGAAGATATTCGGAAGGAGTTAATTTCTTTTTCGATGGAATATTTGATTCGGTATCAGATGAGCGTTTAGATGATGATGATGAATCTGATAATGTTGATTGTTCAGGATCACTGAATAAATTTCTCAATGATGAATTTGCTTGCTCTTTAAAAGCAGCTTGAATATCTTCTTCGGTGAAATTTTCTTGACCAATTTGATCGATGAAATATAAATCGCTCGGATTTTCATTAATTGTTTCATCGTCGAGAAGAAAGGTATCGGCCACATTGGAACAATCGAATTTAAATTTGTTGTTTGATTTACAATTTTTACAATGGTTACTAATTGTAACGTAATCACCATTTTCTTTACAATTTGAATATATACAATTTACTTTATAACTGGTTATTAATTGTCGTTCGTCTTCGGCTAAAGGCTCGAATTTGGAGAATCCATTATCTCCGCAAATATTAAATTGACATAGAAATTGCTTATTTCCCATTTTTTCTTCATTAATATTCTTGGTAAGAGGTTGATTTTTAATTGCTTGAGAAAGAATATGAAGAAAACGAGCACAGGTACGACAACAGAAGAAGGTACAGTCCATACATTTCATCGGAACTCGTGCTATTTGATCACATAGAATACAAATGTAAGATCGTTGATCACCACTGACCTTATCCACTGTAAATCCGGGTTGAACTAATACCTTATCGAATGAAACTGAGAATTGACGTTCAGTTATTTCACCGTAAACTTTTAGAACTTTTAATTTGATGAATTTCTTGAATTGTTCACCATCCAACTCCTTTATAAATTCATTACCTCCAATATTTTCATTACCTTCATCAGTTTCCATTTCTGATGACAACTGCTTATCCATTTTATCCATTTAAATTTATCCAAAATTTAACAGCACGAATCCAACCAATGTCACCAAGGGTTCACAGGTAATTAACACCAGCACTTTATTTGTGGTTGACAATTAAAGGATTGGATTGGAAAAGTTAATTGTTGTATAAAGTAAATTACCCTAATTTAACAATTAACTGGGATAGGATAAGAGTTAACAAAGTAGTTTGAAGTAAATTACCCCAATATCTACTTTGACTTTGAGCGAAGGTTATTGTTGGGAAAGGAATGGAAAAGGAAAAAAATTTACAATTTAATCTTATTGTTGATTATTGTTGAGATTTTGTTGAAACAATTAACTAATTGTTGCATTTTCTTCAAGAAAATGAAGGAAGATTGAAGAGAAATCAAATCAAAAATTAACACGCATCACTTTAAGACAACGTGTTGACCAGGGTAATTTACTTTGGTCACACTTTCTAATTAAACTAATTTAAATTGAATTAATTTTGTTTAAGTTAAGGTAGTTTAGAGTAAATTACCCTAATATCTACCTTATACTTACTAAATTAAACGAAAAAATAATTAATTAATTGTTGATTTGATTGAAGAAACAAAGAGAAAGTGAAAACATGTTGACACTTTGAAGAAATTAACATTTTTAACTCTTCTTCCTTAAAGAGAATAGAAAAATGGACATTGTCTTTTTAGACAGAGAAATAGACAGAGAAAAGAAAGAGAAGAGAAAGGAGAAAATAGAATAGAATTTTCTTTTGGAGGAAACGGAAAAGACAGAGAAAGAGAAAGAGAATTTGTTTGTGCAAGCGCAAT